ACAAGGAGAGGAAGACTCTTGGTGGAGACCGTTGAGTGTAGAAGCGAGGGGGTGGGAGAGAAAGAGTGGGGGAGAGGTGATTGGAGATAGGGCTGTGGCTATGGGAGAGGTGAAAGGTGATGTGAAAATGGGAGGTTATGTGGAGCTTGAGAGACCGGCAGGTTTGGAGGGGAAGCAATTGGAAGAGATGGAGAAGTTGGGGAGCGGAACGGCGAAGAGGTAGATAAAGAAGATTTGTAATATTGAGCGAAATCAGTGTACTTGCATATCTGTCACATGGCCATGCTTTTTGGGTTACAATACGTTCGTTTTATGCCATTTCTGAGTGACAATCGCAATTTGTCTGATATTCAACTACAAAGTTATCGATATTACATCCCCAACACAATTGATGTATGTATCACACACCCGCTAACTTGAATCTACAACTTAAACCCACCACCACCAGTAACAACCTCACTTGCCATAATTTTCTTCCCCTCTACGTCCCTCATCTCGCCTCTCTTTCCAATAACTTTGACACCACCCCTCTTCAACTCACCCACCACATCCTTCTTCTCCTTCGCCTTCTTACTCAGCACCTTCCCGCCCTCACCCGTCTTCTTGATCCTCTCCTTCTCTCTCCTCCTCCTCCTCAACTTCTCCTCTCTGCTCATTTCCTCTCGCGCCACAGGTGCGCCACCCCGTGTAATCTCCTTATTGTCTTTCTTCATGCCCTCGACCACCTGTCCAGCCTTATAAATTTCCTGAGGCGCCAATCTTGATTCCGCTCCCGCGATACCAGAAGCTGTAGATGGCTGAGCATCTTCCATACTGATTGTAGCGACATCGCCCACGACAGTGAGACTCGGTGCTGCGGGCTTGGGTTTGTAGTGCCAGGAACTGAGAGCGTCGAGTTTAGCACAGATATCTTTCCAGAGATTTTCGACTTCTTTTTCTTGGGCCTGGAGTTTTTCATCCGTAGCGCTGACGTAAGTATCTGGGTTTGTGTTTTTGACATGTTCCTCCTCGTAGATTTCCGCGAGACTTTGTTTATTTTTCGAATCGTCGAGTTCGAAGAGGCCGCGGCGGGTATTGGCAGGGGTGAGCGAATCAGGACGACGGCGAATGACTTCGTCGAATTCTTGGGCGAGGATACGTCTCTTGATGAGTTCTTCGATGCTTTCGCTTACTTCGGCTGTGATGACGGGGACAGGTTTGCCGGTACGTTCAAAATCGAGGTCTTCTTCCAAGAGGGAGTTCATGGGTCGATCGAGTGCCTTTGCTTCTCCTGCTAGTGTCCAGTCACGTTTTGCGACGGATGCGGCCTCGAGACGACGGATTTCTTCGCTGATTTTGGCTTGGCGACGTTCGTGGGCTGAACGACGGGATTTAGGGTCTGCGGGGTCGAGATCTGAGAGGGCGTCTTCCGAATTGGCGTCGTCTTCGTCGTCAAATAGATCGCGTCGGACGTCAGCCATAGCTCGTTCTATGGCAGCCTCATCCTCTTCGGGTGCTTTTTTGGCTGCTTTTTTAGCTTGTCTTTCGAGGTAGTTTGCTTGTCGTTCTCCTTTGCCTATTTTTCTTGGTGGAGGTTCGAAGAAATCTTTGTAAAGAATGTCATTTGTGTTGTCATCTGCTACATCAGCGGCTTCGTCCAAATCCATATCATCATCGTCGTCACTATCTCCTTCAGGTGCATTTAAATCCATGTTGCCAAATGTTGGTCCATCCTCTTCTTCGTCATCTTCTCCGTCCGAAACATCCATAGCTTTCGCACGTTTAGAGCCTTTATTTGCTTTTATTGGCAGAGACATTGGATCGGTGCCCCAGTCAATGTCCTCTTCGTCGCTCGCTTCTCCAGTATAAGGATCTGCTGAGGCATCCTGCCTTTCGAGAAATTCTGTTTGTTTATTGAATTCGTCGATTGAGAAGAAGCCATCGTTGAGTTTGTTTGGATCCTCAACAAATACACCAGCTTCGTCGTCCTCGTCATCCTCTTCGTTTTCTTCATCCTCCTCTCCAAAGCCTTCGAAAGCCTCCCCGTCATCTTGACCATCGTTTTCGTCCTCCGAATCCGTATGGAATTCCTCCTCCATGTCTTGGAGATCCTTATCCCCTCCCTCGCCTTCAATGTCTGAACCAATTGCGAATCCATCCTCGTCAAATTCCATCATATCGGATCCCTCCTCTCCCCCATCTTCACTTTCTTCACTCTCATCTCCACCAATTCCGAGCTCTTCGAGACCTCGTGCTACCTCCCCTTTCAGCGCGTCAACAACTCTCTTGGCCTGTTCGAAAACTTGCTGAGCCTCAAATCCTTGGGTATGTATTTTTCTAATCTTCAGCACTTCTTCCTCAGCCTCATCTCTATCGCCCCTCTTCCTCTTTTTTCTCTGCTCCTTCAATCTTGTAGCTTGCTCATCTCCTATTTTTCCTGCAAATCTATCCAATGTCTCCTTGGAGAATACCGAGCTGGTAGTGAGTATTTTCGATGAAGGCGCAATGAAAGTATGACGATTGGTCGAGGCAAGCGCAGCTATTAAATCCTCAATTGAACTTGATCCATTAGTGCCATTTTGAGTTAATTTAGTAGTTGAGCCTTTTTTGGGCGGGGAGGCAGTCATGGTGTGTGAAGTTGATGTCGCCGAGGAGGTGATACTGCCTGCTATCTCCATCGTTGGCTCCCTCATTCTTTTACTGTTTGACAGTTTTGAAGTTTTTTTTTACGATAAGACTAGCGTATTCTCCCAATCTCCGATAACAATCACGTGATGTTAATCAAAATCTCCCAGCATCGAGTACTTCATTGCAATCTGCTTGATATTCCAGGATACCTCCCCTTTTCATCGACAAATTTTGAGCTTCATGTTGCCGAAGCAGAAGTCTCATGCTCACCCATCCATTTCTTGATCAAGTGATCGAAAGAGGGAGATATTTCATTGTCAAAGTTGATTCACAAGGCTCAATGCATTCCCAGAAGCTTCCCTCGTTTATCATCTCATAATTTGCATTTCTGCTCCATTTCTGCTACATTTCTGGCCTATTTGCCGCAGTTCCGTCGGCTGGAAAATATGCAATAACCTGCATGTATCATTTCTAATCAATACCTTCCGCACCTCATTACTCAATTTATCGTGCCTCATGTTGCATGCGAAATCGGATACTCCATAGTGTGCATATCGATAAATGGCTGACTATGTACGACCGTAACACAACGGATGTGTTGATGAAGGCACGTAGCACATATTTAACATTCTAGTGCAATAGCATAGTACGACGTTGAAGGGTTTGAAACCCACTCGCGTGCACTATTACTGCTTCTAGACGGACCCATTGTACAACATTCACGGCGGGATTTCAGACGAAACCTTCAAACATTGAACATGCATGTCGCCCAAAAGAATATATTTCATGTGAAATTACAAAATCTTGAAAGGTGTGGGGATTTTATGCGTCAAGAACAAACTCTAGATGTTGCTTCTCGATAAAATTTGTCAACCGTATGACTTGATGCTTTTTTTAATTTCACATTGACCCCTCTTCTTATGAATGGGTGGCCGAAATCCTCTGTGGGTGAGAGGGAGGACATTGACGTCGTCGTCTCCAATTATCGCCCAATTTGGTCTCTTATCCTGATTTTCTAGTTTCACGACCCCGAGGTGATATCACAACATGTTGAGGGGCGATCAAATTTGCTGAAAAAGAGGGGATCTGCCGGTTAAATAGCATCTTGATAGTCGAACGATATTTCGTGAATGAGAATGCGAGAAGAGATTGCCAGAGGCTTTTGGGGGTCTGGAGGGGATCAGCCTAGTAACAGTAGACACCCAGAGATACCGGGGGCGCGGAACTTGTACTAAAGACGACATGTAGTATTCACACAAGTTTCCTGTTGTAAGAAACCCACTCTCCAATACATCGAAAATGAGCCAACAGCATGTCATTCGAATCCAGATGTGTACTTCCTAAAAAGCGTGCTCGCTTATGACTCGGGGCCACTGGCTAAAATGAAAACTGGTGCATTGCATGCATACATACGGATGAATGTCTACCAATGACATTGAATCTATGTCATCCTTACTCCCTTGTTTCAATGCTGGGTGGAATTTGTGAAGTATTGAGAAGCCAATTGCCACAGTAAAATCTGATAACACTTTGTACGATCTGTTTCTATGATGAGATGGGAAGAGTTGATGGTTCTGATTTCCTAGGTATTCGGATAATAAGGGAAGACTGGTAGGACCTGAGATCTGAGAATTCTGAGATAATCGATAACTCTCAAACTAAAGTTACTTTTATCTCGTATCCAATCATTGGCATCCAGCATTGATCCAACGATGATCCATCTATGTTGAAACTTGATACCTACCGGCACTCCGTACTTGTTAGGTAGGTGATAGCCATTGTGCACTATTGATCGTGATGCTATTGCAGGTGTGCAAAATCTAAAACCAGTTGTCTATCTTAGCGTTGCATATATCAAATACATTCAGAATTGTGATTGACTTTTCCAATTGAACATCTAGACCAACCGGTCAAGCTATTGCAATCGCAAAATGTACTTCCTGTCAACTCGACAAGCTCATTGGTAATTGATAACAAGGTTGTGTGAAAATCAAAATAATAAACAGACTTTTCTTCTTCACTTGCAAGGAATATTTCTTTTCGGTAGTACTTCATTTCAATTACCACTATTGATACCTACCTGGGAAGTAACACGGCATTGGATATCATTGAACCCTTCGTTCGGTGCAGCTGTACAGTGTACGTATCACGATACGGGGCGTACAGTGGGAGATAATAACTACCGCTGCATCTTGGAGTTTAATTCGTTGGATATCTGCGCACCAATCAAGGAACAGAATTGAAACCAACCCTGTGGGTACATAGAGTACATGCTCCGTAGACCTTCCATGTGCATATGCATGCTATCGCTGATATGGAGACATCAGACATCCACCGAGCCAGCCTCTTGTAGAGAAGTAAGGAAGGGGAAGGAAAGGATAACGGAAAGACAAGAAGGGGACCTCATGGAGCAGGAGCAGGAGAAAAGACTCCGCGGATGTCCGGTTGATGATTTCCTCCAAAGTCAAGTTTTTGATGTTAAGTCCAGTTTTCCTTGAAAGATTCGTATTCTACAGGATTACAGTATTTCACATCAGAAACAGTCACCCATTGCCCTCAAACTCTAGTTTATCGCTGCTATCTTTGCCATCTTTGCTGCCCTACCCGTATTGGTAGCAGCTAACACTAGAAGAAAGATATCGTCTGATCCGTATCTCAAGCTCATTCTAAATGATCAATGTCTCAATGCTATTGAAAGAAACAACTATCAGCTCCAACTACTCTCACCCGCCTGCTTTCATACAACTTCCACCATATATATCTCTCGTGAAGCAGGACTTGCTTGACCTTGTTGCTGCGCTGCTTGCTTCATTTGCTGCAATCAGCTTTTCCCGGGACTCTTGGCACTGTCAACCTCATAAAGCTTATCATTTCTCGACTTTTTATCCGTCTCGGGTGTCTTTCCTATAGATTACCGACGCATCAGGTTTCAAAGCGGATTTTTTGCACAGCTTGGTCTGGATCCTCGTATCCCCACTCTCCTGAACATTAATTGTACTTTGTACCTTTCTTTTGCAATCGCGGATATTATTGCGTATTAAATTTCCAACTTTCTCCACCAGGATCGCTGTTACCCGCACATGAAAGTTGGTCAGGAACAAAGGAATCCTAAACACCTCTAATCCATTACCTTATAAAAGGGAAACAATTGCTTGAGCAGCTTTCCAAGACGATTACATTGTGGGAATGAAGTACGGTCAGCAATTCCAGTCGGACTCTGTGCCACAATGGGCGCCATGTGAGTGTGAAACATTCTCGTTTTATTGGTGTGATAGCGAAAATCATGACACAGATCTGTACTGACACGGCTTTCTCGCTCTGCGATTAGACAACCTTGATTATGATGAATTGAAGAATTCGATAAAGCATAATACCACAAGAGATTCGGGAAAATCGATCACTATTCCGGGCCATGTCGATACTTCTTTGGTCGCATTCGAGAATGAATTCTTTACAGAGTTATCAAACCAACACGATCGGGTCGAACTGTTTGTTAAGAGCAAGAGTGAAGAGATTGGTCGCAGACTTCGTATGTAGAGGGTCAATTTGAGACTGTATACCGGTTAATACATACTAATAATGATTAAACAACAGAATATCTATCAACTATCGTCCTGCGACTACTTGCAAGATGTGCAGAAAGCTCCAATGGGCAGATGACGAGGAAGAGGATGAACAAGTTTTCCAAGTACAACATGCAGATTGAGAGTTGCGGGGATGATCTTGCGAGATTGGATCGATTTGTTGAAGCCCAGCGTGTCGCATTCTACAAATTATTGAAGAAATATACGGTATGGACGATTACGTGTAAACTCGATAATGCAAAAACTTATTTGATGTCGTTAGAAATGGACCGGATCTCGAACACTCAAGGAACGATTCGAAGTTGAGGTACTGGGGAATCCAAAAAGCTTCACAAGACAAGATTTTAGTTCCTCACATTCTCAATATAACGATCTCATTACGCTTATCCGAGCTTCTACGCCAATGACGAGCGGGCCGTCTACTCCTAGTATGGGTTCGAGGAGAGACAGTCTCGGCCGTGCCCAATCACAAACATTGCAGCGATCGCCGCCTCGACAAACATATTGGAACGAATACGACAACGGGAGTGATGTCGATCAGGACGAGCCATACTATATATATACGGATCCTAATGCAGAATTGACATTCCCTGGCGCAGAAGTTGTAGCAAGTGCGATTCGACGAACAAAACAAGGAATGGGAAAAGTCAGGGGTTGGTTTATGCCTCCTGGTTCAACAAAAGATCGTGAACGTGAGCCGTTATTGGGAAATCGAGATAGAGGGTACTTTCAACGAAGTCCAAGCGGAACAGCCAATGGTTCGATAACCGATGTCGAAGATGAAGCGTATGCCTCCTCGGCGGATTTCCCGAACGGATATGTTGCTCATTATGCAACTTTTCCCAGCGTGGCGGATCAGCGACTGAGTCGATTCCAAGAACAAACTTTGTTATTTACAATGATTGCTTGCTTTTTCTTTTCCATACTATCTGAAGCTGCATCCACGCTTCTCCTTGCAACAGGTCGACATAAATTAAGGACGGAGGTTGACTTGGGTGCACTCACGGGTGCCTTGTTAGGATTTGCTCTGGCTACCGGTGGATTAATTTGCATGGCATGTCGCAATGAAAAGCTTGGCTGGGTGCACCGAGGAGTTGTGCTTATTGTAACTGCTCTTTTGTTGATTGGGAGTATTGTGCTCTTGATTATGGTAATTGGGAACTAAGCCTCTCATTACGATCTCTAGCTAACAAACTACTGAAGACCCGCCGGTAGAAACTATCCAGGATGGCGAGCGCTCAACGTTGCAGAGATAAACTGGCTTACATCCTCAAGGTATCGTACATACCAGTACCATTGCTTTGCAAGTCATTTGTCTCTCAATTTTAGTTTTTTCTATGTGTCTCTTGTACTTTTTGCTTTACTCTGTCTCTAGCGGGCGCAATTTGGTGGTTGATTCGTTTGGCATTTGGGTGTTTAGTATGGGAGGCACGTGTTAGACTGCGAGATGTGATTATGCAATTAATGGGACAAATGCGTCAATGGTCCTACTTTGACGGCCTAATACTTTAGAATTTTAAAGAAGTGCGGAGATATTGGGAGTCCGCAATGGCCGAATGTGTGGATAGATTCAATGGTTTGAGAAGAAACAATGGAATTGGGGATAAGAATTGGTGCATGTTCTGATAGGTTTGGTGGGGTTTAGTTGGTGGATTTTGTTGGATTGAAGTCAAGGGAGTTGTTGGTATGTGTGCTTTTGTACCAGTGTATCCAGGGGATGTTGGATGTCACAGTTGCAGACTGTGACATTCAACGCGATGGAGGTAGGTTAGTATAATACAATTGAATGAAAGATGTTGATTCAATGTCCTCTTTTCCAAGTATTCTGCTGTCCGTATAGAGTGTATATTCACGTGAAGACAACACAGAAGTCTCACTTGCATCAGGTTGCCCTTTCGTATCATGTCATGTTATTTCGATACTATTGTGTCATAGGTCATGTCATTCATGAAGTTTTGTACTACATAGAATGCTAGATCAGACGATGTCAATCACATGCTTCGCTTACGTTTTACGTGATGTTGTAGAAAGGGGAGAAATCTTTGAGTTTTTGGAGGTGTGTTGATTGGTCAGTTAGCTAGTGGGCTGGTGCGCTTTTGAGTATAACTAGCTAGGGCTTTAGGGGAGAGGAGATGTTGGAGAGAAAATTTTTCGGTAGGGGCTGGGTTCTGGAAAAGGGGGGGTAGGGAGTGGGGAGTGAGGTATTTAGCCTGTGTAATGAAATGGATGGGACGGCTTTCTCCATGATTCATGAACGAGTTTGTTGTTCAGGGAAATTGTGGAGAGGGGGGTTAGCTCTGGAGCAGCTTGATGTTGTTGTTGTATGGAGTGGAGTGGAGTGGAGTGGAGTGGTGCGGTCAGTGTAGATAGAGGTGGTTAGTGGATATTGTCTTCGAATTTTGTGTCCTTGTTGGGGAGGAAGAGATTTTTCTCCTGTATCTGTTTCTAGATATTGTTTAAATTTTAGGAGATGGATGGTTACGAAGTTTGGGGCGGAAAGGAGATAGATGTAATACGTTAGAGGAAAGGTTGGAAGAGAATACATAATGCGATACAGAAGATAGTGCTCGTATAAACTATGAAAACATTCCGTGTATCCCGAACCCAAAGAACTTTCTCGATATCCATGCCCTCAAAACTTCTCTCCCGAATCAACGGTACTACGCCGGAGATATTTTTTCTTCCTCTCCCACTTATGATTCATAATACGTACTTATATAACATATAACATATACATATATCATACATACAAATACAAATACGAACACACAGGCGCATGCTTGCACCGAGCATCCCAAGCGGACACAAAAAGAATCAACCAATAGGTCTCGAGATGAAGACCGAATGTCGTAGACTCATAGCGTCAAACTAAACCCGCATGAGCGATCTAGATCTAGAAAGTAAAATAAATGAATGACATGTGGATACCGTAGTGTATGTAACGGTGCATGTGTGCAGGAAAATGGAGAAGGGTCCGCGGATGCAGTACTTTAATCCGTCGGGGGGATCTTTTTGGAATTGGAATTTGGAAGAGTTTGATTTTGAATTGTGAAGAGTTTGTGGGTTTTGGTAGAGTGGGGTTTTTTGGGGTGATTGTGGAGTGGAGTTTCAAGGTTTTGTGCGAGGAAGTTTAAGCGAGGGGGATTGGGATTAGTACAGAGCAGGCAGAGCAGGGGGTACATGCAGCTTTATTCGTACGTTGTACCTGCATGTACGAGATTTAGTTTAGTTTAGTTTGGTTTGAGTTAGGGTGAGAGTGGGATGGGGATGGGGAGATGGTTCTGTGAGAGAGGGTGAGTGACATTCTGTAGGTATGCGGATGTGGGTTTGTGTGATGGATAGTTTGGGTTGGGGGATTTGGTAATTAGTTGGAAAATGTAGATAGAAGGGATTTGATGTAAATAGACTTAGATTGAGTGGTTTTTATTGAAATTTCTTGATTTCATATTGTGTGTCTGCTAATGCTCACAATTGATGTGAGTTTACATAGTAGTTTTAGTACAGGAAATTACACACACAACACTCGAAGGGAATAGTCCTTGGGAATTTCATGTGATCGTCTTTCAAGTAAGAAGTTGGCCTTACTAGACAGGTAATGAGAAAAGATTTTCATGTTACTTGCCATTCTGCATCACTCGATGTCTCATGGTTTGCATCCTAAGGAATCTAGATGATCTCCGCACTCGCATGATACTGATTATTGTTGCAGAGATTTGTGATTTTGGCCTCGCAGAAACACTGTCTAACTTGAATCTTAGAATTACAATTCATCTTCTCCTACGGGAGTTGAGGAAGATAAGAAAGGAAACGACACAAGAACTGATATGAAACCAATATGACTATTCGTCTATCCAAACAAATGGTCAAATCCAAGCTATGAATGAGAACCTCTCCTCTAACTAAACCCTCAGTAGCCCTAACACATCAAGACCCTCCTCCCTCACTTTGACTCTCCCTTCTGGCTCGCGGAAAATTTTCCAGATCCTGATGTAAAGTACACCGATCCGGGACATTATGCGTGCGCCATACCGCAGTATAGCCACGAAAAAGACATGGGAATCCTCTTTCTGTAAGAGCAGTACAGTTAGTTGTTCCCTCTTTTAGAATTATTTCATCGCGAACTGCAGTTTTTGTTCTCATAAGTTCTTGTGTGTCAGATACACTTTTCTCCTTAGCGATTTTCAAGTCCACGGCAATCTCATCCGCCTTTTCTGCAGCCGTCAGTGGTAATCCTAAAGCTTCACTAATTTCTCTTCCACGACGAAGTCTCTCAGCGTTATATTCCTTCCAGAAATCTCTTTCTTCGCCAATGAGAGGATCTACATTGGGATCTTCTTCGGGATCAGGAATGATCATTCCTTCGTGGAAGGTTTCGGGGTCGATTCCTGCTTCTAACAGCGCGTAATAACGATCTCTTCCCATCCACATGTGTGACATTGGTTGGTAAAATTTGAGGAGATAGTTGGGTGGTTCATCTTCGGAATCGCTTGGAGTTTCAGCACGCGCGCCTTCAGGTCTTGGGGGAGGTACAGCTGGGTCTCCAGGCGGACGAGGTCCAGGTGGAGGAGATCCAGATGGTGATAATGGAGGAGCTTCACCAGATGTAGTGACAATAGGAAATTCACTCGTTGTCGTAGCTGGAGGAGGTGTTGGTGAACGTGATTGGTCAGTTATAGGATCTGGAGTCTCAACTTGACCTGAATCTTCAGAGAAGGGGCTGGGAATTTTCGGATTAGGTAGAGGCCTACCGGTCGTTGTGATTGGAAGAAGTGCTGGTGCTGTAGTAGCAGGAGGCTCTTTTCTGAAAGCTGCGGGTACTTTTTTATCCAGATTAGAACCCGTATCTGGCATATATCGAGTGATTTCGTGCAACTGCGTCTCTACTATCTCGTCTCGCGAATACCCAAGTAGCAATATACTAATGCGATCCATTTCTCCCTGGTGCTCTGTGATCCATGTTCTAATGGCGGTCATTATCATTAACCCGGCTAAATCTTTTGGCATTGCAAAAATTCCCATCGAAATTCCTGGAAATGCAATGCATCTCAGCTTGTTTTCCATCGCAAGGTCTAGACTTTTCCGAAAAGCGGTCAACAAGAGTGTTCCGTCTCGCTGGTTTGCTACATTCCAGTTCGGACCAATAGCATGGATAATATAATCGCAAGATCCGATATTCCAAGAATGAGTCGTTCCATAAGCGTTGCCCACTTGTCCTGGATGTGGAAATAGCTTGTCCATTTCAGTTTGAAGTTCTGGACCAGCTGCGGCATGAATCGCTCCATCAATACCGCCTCCCCTCTTCAGCCCAACATTCGCAGCATTGACAATCACCTCGACCGGATATTTCAACATATCTCCTTCAAGAACCTCAACTGTGGTGCCTAAATACTCGGTGGTCGAGATAACCTCGTATTGATTTTCAAGACCAGCCATCTTGGAAGGAATTTGGCACAAATGTCTTATTGTGAATCGTACATACGAGATGCTTGAAGAAAAAGGTCCAATTCCCGCTTGAAACTGTATTAGATTGACTTCTTTCAAGGACGAGTTTACCAAAGTTCACGAACAAGTCTTGAAAGAAGACCGTTTGTGGTCCAAGCTAGGAATAAAGAAAGGAAAAAGAAGTCATTATTGAGTGGAGAAAGGAACAATACATGGGTAGACACTAATTACCACAAGTATAAAGAAATCGAGTGTTATTCTTTGAGTTCCTCAAGATTTTCGACCATGTTTATATCGTGTTTGTATTTCACGCCGAAGAACTTGCTAGCTGCGAACTTCATATGTTTGGTGCCATAGTCGTAGCAACGCGTTCGTCGTGGAGGACGTCGAGTAATATTTCACGGTAGAATCAACGCCATATTGATTACGCTTGTAACATCAATCCTCATACAAACCTCGACATCGAATAACAGTAATCGAGCATATCATATATCAAGTGAAGGTCTCAGAGTTGAGAATGATCTGATGAAAACAGTTCGTGGGGAAGAGGAGAATTGATATTGAGCACAGACCAATTATCCTCACAACACGGAGATCAGGACTTCGGAAATAATTTCCTGAGGTGTTATTATTCCCGGTCGATGTATTTTCTACAAGTTTTAGAGCTAAAATCAACGATGAACTTCGCAAATTTGCAACTTTTTTTTAAGATGTGCAACAAAACTTTTTTAGGAACTCAAAGTCACGTGTACACCCACCACATTTCAATGGGAACAGAATTTGTTACTTGGCTTCGATCGATTGGATTGCATGGCAGATAAACGGCTCAATGAGGGTCCATACTATCAGTGGTAGTATCGTGAAACCCAGCAGTATACCAAATTGATGGCAGGAATTCGACGCAGATCGTTCGGGATGGTGTTGACATTTGAATATATACCTGCTGTACCTATGATCGGCATACTATTAAGCAACGGCTAGTGCCGAATCAATCCAATGGACCAGTGTCTCTCTGGGAGACAGTCGTCTACAGAGACGCCCTCGAGCCTGAGGATTGATGCCAATTGTCTTTTTACATTCTGACAACATTGTAACAGTGGTCACGCATGCACAATTACTCCAAAAGATATCAAGAGCATCAGAAAGTCGAATATGGGTATGCAAGAATGTAAATTTCTATATCAAGCTCATAAATAAGTTCCACCCGGTATTATGTTACAATTTAAAGTTCCTTAATATTCAACGCGCTGCTCCAACACTCCAGTTCTCATTCTGCTCCTCGAAAGCCAAATGCTCGAAGAACCAATCTCTGCCGATTCTAAAAATCTCTTTCTTCAGAAGAACCACATTGATTTCGAGCTCTTCGATCTCTGCTTCCTCCTCTACGGCCATGTCTTCCCACAACCAGTTTAAAAACTTTTCTGCGTTCTGTCTCTCGGTACGTTCTCCCTTCTCGATGAGATATTGCCATCCTTGCTCTAATCTTCTCTCCCAAATTACTTCGTTTGCGAAGTCTCTGGCCGCTATTACTTCTGGCCCCTCAATCTCCTTGAGAACCAGTGGTGCGCAAGCCGGTTTGGTGATTTCAGAGGGCCCTTCATTACCATCTTCGACCTTCAATGACACTAGATCTAGCTGCGCATGCTTTGTTTCGATGGCCTTAATCTCGTCGGTGACTCCGATCAAAGGAACGATACCAGCATTCTTGGCCTGTTTTCTGCGAGCTTTCCTGATGAATGATGGCATAGGCCATCCGCCTTTTTCCTGATCCTCATCGTCTAATGATTCATATGCGATTTCTTTGGAGACAGATGAAGAAGGGAACACACTCTCACCAGACTTTGAGACCTCCGGCGAATGCTCGAATTCTCTCTCGGGCACGGTTGGCAACTTCGCAGGGCTGCTCATCTGGAAAAGGCTCATGATCTCCGATCTGGCCTGTCTGAACATTTCAGGTGTCACCCGTGCCGATTTGAGAGTCTTGAGAAGTCTTGCTTTTTCTGGCGAAATGGAAGTAACATTCCTCGATGCTGTTGGCATGCGTGTAACATTTCCGACTGTTCCCGGACTTTGCAATTCCCTCTCCTCAGTCTTTCCAGCCATCAATGACCCTGGCCTAGAACCTTGAATTTCTGACGACACGTCGCTGACCTGTCTTGGCAACGAAGGCGATGAAGCACCAGTTTCATCAAGTCTGGAATCCCCCGGACTTTCGCCTACAGTCTCCTTAATCCTCAGTGGTATATATGTAGATGCCATTGGAGAACCCTCCAACCCGGAAGCTTCCGGTGGCGTTGTGGTGTCCAATGTCTGATTAAATGTATGGCTCGCGGCAACAGAAGGCGGAGCTGGCAGCGATGGAAAAAAATTCGGACACGAACCTTCTAAAAAAAGTGGGTTGCCTGGTGGCTTGCTGGAAGCTCTGCTCGCTGTAACTGAGGAAAATGACGTTGAGAATATCGATGTACCAACGACATTTCGTTGCGATGTCGCGTTGCCTATGTTTCGATTCGGTATAGATCTCTTCGCTGCAGCAGGAGAGGGAGTTGGAGCCGCGAAGACAGGAGCGATAAATTGGCTTCGCTGTGGCATGCGAGCTGCCGGTCCAGCCTCTACGATTCCCATGGAAATTGGACCCTTTAACTTGAGCCAATATTTTGCATCATGGCAAAGAGGTGCAGCAGGTTTCCAGACAATGCCCTCACCAAGGCCAATGAGGCCAAAAGTCTTCGCAAATGGACACTCTTTCTCCACTTCATCGGCCAGAGCTTGCATCTTTGCGAATGCTGGTTCCGGGTTCCTCAATTCGATGGTTTCGTGGTAAAATCCTCCCCGAGAAATATTTACAATGTTAACAGACTCGTTTTCAATGTCTGAATATGGTTCATCTGGCTGCCATTCGTTGTTGATGGAAACAGAAATGATGACGAAATATCGCTCTGGCAGTGCACTGACTGCGATGTCTTTCTGGATCCTGGGGCCGATCCACTCGCCAGCGATGATGAGAGGATGTTCATCGTTGATCTTGGCTTTAGGGTTCAGCTTTTGGAAAAGAGCATGGAACTGCCTTTTCAAGGCGATGATTTCCACTCGAGCTGGCTGAATGAAATCAAGGAATTTCAAGCTGTCGAGAGCCGGTGTAAGAACATCCAAATTTCGAGTCTGTATGTAAATAGTGTCGTCTGCTGTGATGCGAATATCTCCATGAGTTCCATGAAGTTTTACTGTTCCGGTGACAGAAATACTCCCAGCACGTCGAGTCTTTAAGGTTCTCTGGTATTTTGAGAATTCTACGAGTAAATTTTTGGGCTTACCAGAGATTTTGGGATAGAGTGTATCCTTCTTGGAGGCCATAATGTCGCATGTGGTATGGTTGGAGATAGGTGCTGAGAACTCGAAGTTTGAATCCGAGAGTAAGATGCTATCAAAGTTGAGGAGCTTGGGAGTTGCTGCATGGAAATTGTTGTAGAGGAGAGGAAATACTTTCGAATGCAGAGTCGTTACGTAACGACTGTATATAAGGATAAAAAGTCGAGGGAGTGAATCAAGTTCCCAAGAAGGAAAGAAGTTGATTGGGGGGAAGGAGCGCTAACGGTTGATGTAGATGAATTGCGGGGTGAGTTGATGATTTGAAAACCGAATATGAAATTGCTTGCTGTACCACAATTACAGTAAATACCGAACCAATTTACTACGCCACTGACTCCTCAAAGCTAAAAATGAGCAATGCATCTCGTAAAATTCACCCATTATGAGGAATTCTGCTTTTCCGGCTTGCTTGCACCACAACAAAAGTGAATATAGGACATTAAGACGCCTTCGACCCCCCAAACACCAGAAATTAGCAAAGCACCTCATGAGATTCACCCATTATGATGGAAGTTCCGCGACCGCTGGCTGTCTTTGTTCAGTATCAGGCGCCTCCGCAATCCCACTCCTTTGAATCGACTCCACATCCCCCAAACTCCAAGTCGACTGTTGGCTACTCATCAACATACCCATCGGCGAATCATTAGGGATAATAATTATCTTGAACCTTCTCTGTTCCTTCTTCTTCAACTCCTTCTCCTTCTTACTAGACTTTTTGTTCGTCTCTTCCCCCTCATTCTCTCCATTGATCTCGCCTTTAGCAGAGGGTAGTTCCAACCACGCCTGAAAACCCCTACCTCTGAACGACTGATCATTCCATTTATGTAGCGTGGCTCTCAAACTCCCTTCATGCATTAATCCATCCCTGACTTTTTCAACTACTTTCTTTCTGTGAACCGATCTTCCGGTATAATACCCTGCAAAAGGACCACCGAAGACGAGCAGTCCGGTACTCAATACACCAGTGGAAATACCGGCGGTCCATGCTACCCAATCTTCCTGAATAGTGAGACTAGCTGCTCTGACAATTTCATGGGTGAAGAGATGCCATTCATCATGAGAAACACGGTAATCGTAGAGACGTTGATGAAAAGGAAAGCCGGAGGCTAAGGAATCTGTTTTGGTGGGAATGACGAGTTTGGTGATGGGAAACGAGGGGGTAGGGGTGAGTGTTTGATTGATTGACATGGTGTCCTGGGAATCTATTTCTTTGGAATATGGATCCATCAGATACGCTGGTGCTTGGGTTGGGTCGAAGTCTGGGGATTTACTTTGTGTATGTTAGTTTAGATCTTTTAATCAGGAGAAATAGGAGACTTACTATGCTATAGATGGCTTCTCATCTAGATCTGGAGAGGCAACCATTTTTCTCTTGATCTCGCTACCTAATAGTCCTTGGGGGACTTTGGTATTGAAGCTCATTTTCGCTAGATGTTGGTATGTACAACTAGGGAAAGAATACGAGTCACAGGAAAATCTTAAACAAGTACAGATAAATCAAAGAACCAAAACCCAAAAACATACGAGGAACCCTATCTAAAGACTATGCGAGCATCAATACATATACAAAAAATAAAATGAACAAACTCTACTTCAAAAAGTGTATTTGTAGTCCATCCCAAGCTATGCTTACAAGATCCACATTATTCACGTACTCGTACAGCACAGACATCCATCAACTGCAAAAGATCACCCCAATCCCAGCAACATCACCGCCGTTTTGAAATCCAACCCCAAGCATTATGTGGCTTTGAGGATGTGGTTTACGAACAGGCCAATCAATCTAGAAGCACTAACCTAAATAAGTATTTTGTGGAGATTGATGATCGGAAGGATTCAGATCTTTTAAAAGTCCGAACTCGCAAGTTCAGCAGCCCATCTTTGCTGAGAAATAACCTTATATATTTAAGGCTTGTGTAGAAAAGAGGTTTGAGGAGGCTTACACTAGCACCTTATTCCTTCTGAATTCGCTGCCCTAAACTCCCCGAAAATATTATGATTGTCGTTAAAATAAGCAATGAAGTCAAGATAACAACTTACGGCGGCCGCTTCTACGCACGTAAATATCGGTTCACTGTGTGCAGATTTTACTGTCTTATGGAAACTGGTGAGATGTGGCGTCTAACAGTCCCCCACATGTTCGGCGAAAACTCATATTCGTCGTGGCATTTCCTTAGATCCGCTGTGCGGCTGAACCTCCAAGAACCTGTTATCTCAATCTGGAGATGATGATTCGAATCATGTGTGCAATTGTTGGTAATTTGGAGGCGTCGTCAAAAACAACTCCATACAAATGAATGAGACATTCGCTTCGTCCATGAAGTTCTGACTTTAATCCTTTCGTATTTCCTGTTTTGAAGTGCTAATGAAGATTCTATTCACAGGGTGTGAGCATTCAACAAATTTCCTCGTGAGTAACTGGCAATTCAATATTAAGTAAGAGAAATCTAGAGAGTAGCATAGAAATATACCTAATGTAATATATGTACTATCTACTGGAACAAATGTGTGCATTTTATATGTCCTAGCGATAGAGAGAAATATTGTAACAACTCATAGGATAAAAAATACTAATTGATTGTGTCCCTGATTTGTTGAGTCACGATGAGTGAAACAGTATGACGGGAAAACTTCCTCCAAACCAACTCTTCTCTGTAGCAAGTTAGTTGATGAAGCACAAAGGGGAAATGTAACAAATACTCATTCAATCATGTTTGGAGGGAATATTCTGGTGGCGAGACCCTGCTGTGATAAAGAGTTGAGATTTCAATAAGTAAAACATTGCCCAGCTTGACTCACACCAAGCGGTTCTTTTGAGTTGGTAGACACAGTTTTAGATTTTGATATATGCTGATGTTAGAAAGCTAGTGTCTTAAGGGAGCAACTTCCTAGAAGATTACCTAACTAGCTTTTTAGGCAATATTACAATGCTGCCATACAGAGAAGTATCCATGGACTACAGGGTACAAACTTCCAAAGCATTGAAACTCACATGACTATGAGATTATCCCAGTCGGTAGATCTAACCTCAATGTCCATGGATATTCCAACCGGTTTAAGGTTTTCAATAGCGCAAAGTAGGGACCCTGTCAGAACTTCAGAACTGCTTGTGGTAGTTCTATAGCACCATCCGGAAATCCCAATTTGTTCTGTAACTTTCCAACAACTATGAACAGTCATCTTCTGCATCGCATCAATACCACATGCTTCATTAACCGCTGGCCTCAACAAGTTTCTGCTTCGCAAGTACCAACGTCTTTGATGTCTTGCTCATGGCGGCCCGTGAGTCTGCATAATCATGACATCTTCAGAGATATTACCATCGATTCGGAAATTTATTCCGACGAAACCGACTGGATGATTCTCTGTGATACTCCTGAGATCGAAGCCAAGTCCATTTCAAATAAGAGCTTCATCACAATTTAAGTCAGCATAATTATCATTTCCCGGCGAATGACTGCCGGCCGGCATGATACCCTCGTGTGAAAGTGACTTTAATTTATCCTGGTCCACATCGTATTGAATGGTTGAGGCCTTCGAATCCAAGCTCGTTCTGTCTTTGGAATAATCTCTGAACTTCATGTCTGATTTGTTTGCAAGTTGAAGTAAAATTGAAAGACTTCAACCAGAACTCTTAGTCTTCCCTGGGCACAATAGTTCTCTCCGCGCAGTGGTCTTTCAAAAAAGGGATATCCCATTGAATGGAAAGAGCTAGACGCTTGCCGCTCTGAACGCCGACGATTGCTTCATACACCATACCACGAAGCTCGGACGCAAGGTCGAGCAAGGGAGAAAGAATTTCTTGAGGCCTGAAGAAGTTTGGCCAGAAAGAATCATTCCTTATTGATAACCTCCGATGTACCGAATTTCAGGGGATTGACAGCTGGTTAAACAATAAAGCTTGGATCGAATTGGGGTAATTTGAGATCAAATTTGGGTTCAAGTTGGCAAACAGGAGGAGCAAAGAAAAGTTTAACAGAGTTTGAATCTGCCCAATTGAGAATGGAAGATAGCAGGTAGACTGTGTTGGGCATTGAATTGGGAGTAAAAGTGTATACCTAATAAGGTCCAGATAGGATTTTGTTTGTCTTTATATGAGTAATGCTGGTGAGTTCAAATTCGTCTGATGTCAAATATGACAGAACTACAAAGTCTGGCAAGAGCAAGGTAATAGCATGATGATCTAACCCGATTAGATCCACATTAGCCTCGTCAGAAATGCACAACTCCCATCATCCTTGTCAAAATAAACTGAAGACTGCCAAAAACGCACCCTCGGAGATTTCGACAAATATTCTTCCAGGTTCCTCAAGACATTTGATTTCGGAGTCCTGAAATCTCCCTGGTTCGAAATCTGCGACAAAGTCTTTGATTTTGCCAAGTTTGGGAATTTTGATTTTGGCTAGACTTGCTACAAAACTTTTGGAGTGTAGTGTTGGCAAATCTGGTACAACTCGACCACCAATTCTAACATCAACGGCGACATGTTACCTCCCGTCGAACAGTCCATTCTACAGGTAAACCCTAAGTTTGCAGATTTGTACAAAAAGCTCTCGACCGATATTTTAAATCCTAATGGTTCTACTAAGAATCATCCAGCTCAGAAAGAGCGGGATGCAGTCTCTGGGGTAGCTCCCCCCGCTCTACAATCTTCTACAATTACTAATATACACACCTAGGCACTAAAAGCTGCCAGAATAGAAGCCGCAAAATCGCAGATCCTAATATCTTCTCTGTCGTCCCTGGATCTCTCACCTCCGCCTCCCATTCCCGCCAAACCTCGAACCCGAACTTCTCAACCCGCGCCCCCAAGAAAGGCTGCCGAATTACCAGATGACCTCATCGAGCTGGTTATTCTCCTCACGGCAAAGCTCTCTCTCCCCTCAAGCTCCCTCTCCAAACGCGATATTACCCTCTTAGAATCCACACCGACATACCATTCCCTCCCAACCCACCTTGCGCAACTGAGTGCCCTCCTCAGCACCAACCTCCTCAGCACCGCCCTCTCCCTTTCGCGAATTCTTTCCCCAACAACAAACGCTTCTTTCTTGCACCGCCAAATCCCCAATCTCCTCCCCAGCGTCTTAACTCTGCAATCCACTCTCCTCACGCAATCCCATTCTCTGGCTCTCGCCCGCACAACCCTAACCAACACTACCAGGCAGCTTCTAACCCTATACCACCGCGCCACAGCCCTTATAATTCAACTCCTCGAGCGTTCAAAACATGGTCCAATTACAAGACATACCATTTCCAAAATCTCTCTCCTCTCCCTCCAATCCCAGACTATTTCCCACGAATTACAACTCAAGTATGTACACGGAGAGAAAATCATATACGACGAACGGACAACTGAGGCTTTACAAAATTATATGCGAGAATTGCGTGGGGGCAGGGAGAGGTTGAAGGAGAGGGGGAAATTGAAAGAGAGGGATTTGTGGGGATATGGGGTGGGTAGGGAGGACGAGAGGAAGGAAAGGCAGATGAGGGAGATTGCGAGGGTATATGGGGAACTCAAGGAGGAGCTACAGGAGGTGAAAAGGGATGTGGAGAGGTTGAGGGGAAGTTAATTGCGTGGATCAATGACAGAGAAAGAGAAGGATAGGACGATTTATGATTTTACGATTTTGATGATCAGACGGAAAGATGTGATGAATTTAGGGCTTAAATAAATCAGATGAGAGTGGGTGTTGTATTGAGAGAGCTGAAAGATACGATATTTCTATTGGGGGTGTAATGCCTGGGAATATTGTGATTAAATTGATTACATTCGATAACAATTCAAACAGATGGAGCAATTGATGGAGGGAAGAATTTTTATTTCTTTCAATGGTATATGTTGTATCTATCTATTCTTCTGGACTGAGCTCTGGAATCTCAAGGATATTTTTTACCACACCGTGCTATATTGAATTTTGGGATTAAAATTATATAACCGATCTATGGCTTGACAGCATGGATAGCAGCAGCCAATCTCTTGACGTTTGCTGTAGTGATACCTGCAACAGAAATTCTACCATCCTTGGTAGCATATACGGAGTGCTAAGTTTATGATTAGCGCCATTTCTACTAAATCGGTCCAGAACAAAACTTACTTCAGTAGCCAGTTTATCCATTTGCTCAGGGGTTAAACCAGTGTATGCGAACATGCCAATTTGGCTAGTGATGTGAGACCAGTCGTGCTTTGAGCCCAAGTTCTCGAGTTCCTTCTTTAACAAAGCTCTCATGGTGATAATACGATCAGCCATTCCCTTGACCTCAGCAAGCCATTGCTTGTTCAAAGCCTTGTCGTTGAGAATGGCGGAAGCAATACGGGCACCGTGAACGGGAGGGTTGGAGTAAAGAGGGCGGACAAGAATCTTGATTTGTGAATCAACACGCTTCTTCTCCGCGGCATCGGCGCAGACAATGGAGAATGCACCAACACGCTCACCGTACAATCCCATGTTCTTAGCGAAAGACTGGGCAAGACATGGGTTGTGGCCTTGCTCAATGAAGTGACGAATGGGGAAAGCGTCCTTGTCGGTATCACCGGAGGCGAATCCTTGGTAGGCCATGTCGAAGAAAGCATAGTGTCCACCAGCCTTGACAGCATCGCTGATCTCCTTCCATTGCTCGACAGTTGGGTCAACACCAGTGGGGTTGTGCGCACATGCGTGGAGCAAGAAAGCGCTTCCCTTTGGTGCAGCCTTGATGTCTGCAATCATGCCCTCGAAATCGAGGCCGATTGTGTCCTTGTTATAGTATCTATATTTCTCAACCTCGAGACCCGAATCCTTGAATACTGCAGCGTGGTTTGCCCACGATGGAGTTGGGATGTAGATCTTCTTTGCGCCAGGGTAGAATCGTTGGAGGAAAGCACCTCCAATTCGGAGAGCTCCAGTTCCGGAGATGGATTGTGTAATGACTAAACGATCAAGGGCACTCGATCCCTCGCCGTATGCAAGAACAGCAGCTGCCTTGGTGAAATCTGGAACACCAGTAATACCCGCATATTCTTTGTTGAGCTTTGCTTGTACGACCTTATCTTCTGCGGTTCGGACGGATGGGAGGACGTAAGGTTGGCCTGCGTCATCTCTGTATGCGCCAACACCTAGAGAAAAGTTAGTGGAATTATGCTGAAAGCAGTGCGGAGTTGCGAACCTAGGTTGATCTTCTCCTTGAAACTATCTGCCTTGAAGGCCTCGGTAATACCTGTATTTTTGTTAGATTTTCATATCAAAGAAATGATCCCATTATTGACTCATACCTAAAATGGCCTGTCACAAACGATGGCACAATTAGAAAACTACTTCTCTATCGAATTAGAATAGCCAATAACTTACATCCTGTATTAAATTAGCCTGAAGTGTCTAAAGTAGTGCCATTGACTAGAAATACGTACTGGAGGACCTTGAGGAACATCTGCCCATGTGGAAGCTTGTCTGATGGCAATGCTACTTCTGGAAGCAACACCACGGGTAATGGCTTGCCTGCTGGCTAATCTGAAGGTAGAAAGCATCTTGAAAGTTGACAATTGGGAAAAAGGATGTTTGGGTAAAAGAGGGAATATCAATTCAATTAAATGAATCTGACAGCAAGGTTGCTTGAAGAAACAGGCGAGGCCAAGCAAATACTTTCGTCTCGAGAACAGCTGCCCCAGAAACTACCCACAAGCTTCCGATTGGCGTGTGCATGGGTGTTTGGGGATTGAGCGGACTGGCATAAGTTCGGATTGTCTTGTAATTGAAGATGCGCACGAATAAGAGTAAAATTTGAAGATATAATTTATTGGCAATGGACGGTAATGTACTCAGGCCCATAATTCGGCACTTTCATATGCATTTATATCACTGTTACATACAGCTTTTGAGGGAATATTTCCCAATCTCAGATCACTTCTGAAGAGGCAGTCAAGACATTGATCCACCAAAATATGATGTGAGATCGGAAAGATTCGTTATCGAATTGGTCACAGCGTCGAGACAAAATAAACGGTGCTGACTATGATTACCCAGTGTTCAAACCCCTCCTTCAACGGCCTCACATCGAGAAGCACCCTCAAAATCGACAGCGACAGTTGATGATAGTCCGTCTTGGACATAGGAACCGTGAATTTCTTACCATGAGAGATTCCAAGAGAGCTGTAGTACTTGGGATCAGTGGGTGTTCATCTAGTGGTAAGACAACACTTAGTCGACTTCTCCGTGATATCTTTCCACATACTTTCGTTCTTCACGAAGATGACTTCTATAGACCTGAAGAAGAGTGAGTTTGGATTTTTGCCTGTATTGCTTTTGATATGTATCCTGTTTTGCGACGTAGTGTCTGATTTGCGAAGTACTTTTCAATGTACCCCCTACTAATGATAACTAGACTCCCTAAGAAGCATGATCTAGTAGATTGGGATTGCGCAGAAGCTTTGGATATACCAGAAATGGTCAAGTCTCTTGAGCATATACGCAAAGAAGGCACATTTCCTGTCAGTCATTATCTTTCAACTGTGTTTTGCTAGTTGCGAATCTTGCAGAACGAGTCCTCACTCTTCATAGCCTAATCTCGATTCCAAAGAAGACAAAAATTCTATTGGAGAATGTCCCGTGTCAGATGAAGATATCGAAGCATTAAAATCTAAAGTCAAGACATGGACAGAACCTGGGCAGCCAGGATATGGAATCTTATCAGACACAGATTCTCCCATGCGTCTTTGCATTTTTGATGGGTTTCTTCTCTATTCCAAATCCTTGGCCGAACTTCAATCCCAGATCGATCTGAAACTTTTCCTCCGTGTTAGTTATGAAAAGGCAAAAGGTCGAAGGGAAGCTCGTAGTGGCTATGTAACTCTCGAAGGATTCTGGGAAGATCCACCAGGATACGTTGATAAGATTGTCTGGCCAAATTACGTTGAGGATCACAAATGGATGTTCGAAGGTGATGATGTTGAGGGGAAATTAAAAGAAGATGTGATTAGTGAGCTAGGTCTGAAATGCCAGGATGGAGGTTTGGACATTGATATGACCACGACTCTTAAGTGGGCCGTGGCTACAGTTATGGACTCTTTGCCTTCATTTGCAAAGGAAAACTCAACGGCCGGGAAGTAGCCAATTCAGGTCATTGTAGTTGTAATGGAGATGTGATCAGCTTTTGCATGCTTGGATACCTTCCATGGACCTGATTCAGAACGTTCAATTCAACTCAATGAGACGATTCTTTCGTTGGTTTCCTTGAACGAGGGAAGATCGAAGACAGAGAAATTCAATGTTGAAGGATACTCTTAACGAAGATAGATACGACAAAGAAGATAGGGAACAATCCCAGACTTCTGAAGGGTTCTTTATCACACAACAAAGAATACTTTAGCACACATAATCAATGCATTGTTTTCACCCTCAAACTCGCTGTAAACATGATACAAATTTCAAGTATAAAACTCCATCCCTCCTTGATATCTCTTTTCTTTCCTCATGTAAATCACAAGATTCAAACCTTCATAACAACAACCCCTGCATCAATATGTCAAACTATATAGAAGCAACAATGCAAGACCAGCAGGCCCACGAGGTCAACGAGCTTGCCACTCGATTTAAACGCATGAACATCGAAGTCACTTTCCAACCTAATCGAAAACGTAAGTTTGAGAGGTGCACCGCTCGTGAGGAAGTTCTGTCTCACAAGCGCCGAATGTGTGACGACGGAGCTCAAGTGTGCCAAGTCACAGTCTGGTACTCGTTTACCGAACGATTAAATCTTGCAGGCCGTTTTTTCTATAAATTCTATCTCTCTAGTGGGAGAGGCGAGAGCGATTAAAGGTAAGTTAGTCATTTCATAATAACACACTCTCTTTTAAAACTAAATACATTTTCATTCATACCTTTTAGTGATCCTTAATCCGCGTGAACCCAATATAAAAACATCCCGTTCTTCCCAAGGTAGACAATGGCAGCGCTGCCACTTTCGAGCATTCCATGACAACTCAATTATACATATCATACATACTGACCATCCCATATTACGCTCTCATGTTCTCCATCCGAAGTCAGATTCTATTGCTACTTGCTATTCTCCCTGAATACTAATTCTTTTGCTTGGATATCATGGCATGAGATATTTTGATGTCTCAAACCCAATGTGAATAAACAAGCATACTAAGAGGCGCTCGCTTCATCCAAATGTTTCAATACATCAAATTAGTCGAAGAAGAGCGGCCATCTCGACTCATCGGCCGGTCTGTTTGAGGTAATTTTGGAGGGAATTGTAAAATAATTTGGGTGTACTGGGAATCAGAACAGGAGTTGCACTTTACTTGACGTTTGAATGATGTTCGACTTTGAGGCCCGGTATAGAGGATATGATGTGTGAAGCTTATAGATGTATTGATATATGAGTGTACTGTGCGATGACGTATTCTCGAAACGACCAAGGGATGCATAGATGAGCTATCTTCTGCTGTTGAATGTTAGATATCAGCGAGTCATATACATAATCCTTGTGATTGACACTGACAACAGAAAGCTTGTACTTCCAGAGTCTTTCGCTACCTAAGAAAAAAAGGGGGTACGCGAAATCGGACTTAATAATCACCTGGTACAAATACCGAATTTCGGGTACCCGTCGTCACTATTTTAACATGTTTTGTAAGCAGGAATTTTAGATACCCCGCTATCGTCATAGGGCGGCCCCACCACAGCACAATATAAAGATCAAAATGCCCCTTGGCAATGATCTTCTTCTAAGATAAAATTGTTCCCATCTTAGAATACATCCCTAGTCATTTTCTGCAATAAAATAGATACCATAATGCCTGAAACTATGCGAGCAGTTGGTATATAGCTTTTCGATTTGATGCACTAGAAACCCAAGCTCTCATTCTTGCCGTTTCCATCAGCTAAACGCTTTCACGCACCTATGAAAGCAACATTAGCTAACATAACTCCCCAGATATCAAAGATGGCAAAGGGCATGCCGATGCTCTTTTCATAAATGATTTGACTCCCAAGCCTACCGCTCAATCGGGCGAAGCTATCGTCAAAGTCAAAGCTTTCGGTCTTAACCGTATGGATCTTCTCCAACGTGAAGGCCTCTATCCTGTTCCACCACAAGCTCCCAAAACTCTTGGTGTGGAATTTTCTGGTACGATTGAAAGTTTAGGCACAGATATTAAGGAGGGATTTAATGTCGGAGATGAGGTTTTTGGTTTGGCGTATGGAGGTGCATATGCGGAGTACCTCGCTGTGAACACGCATATGCTTCTAAAGAAGCCGGATCATTTGAGTTGGGAAGAGGCGGCTGGTATTCCTGAGGTATGAGACTATCCATCATTTAGACCATTTTTTTATAGAAATAGTTTATGAGTTGATTGAGTTGATTGAGTTAACACAATCAAAATAGACATGGATCACAGCTACTCAAGCTATGTATCTCGTCGGCGAATTTTCCCAAGGAAAATCCATTCTCTGGCACGCAGGCGCATCATCCGTCTCCATCGCCGGTATTCAACTCGCCAAGAACTCCGGTGCATCAGCTATCTATGTGACAGCTGGGTCACAAGAAAAGATCGATTTCTGCGTTAACACATTAGGAGCAACAGCAGGCTTCAACTACAAAACACAAGATTGGGCGAAGGAGATTACCGCTGCTACAGATGGCAAGGGTGTTGATATTATTGTTGATTTTGTAGGAGCGAACTATTTCCAGGGAGATCTAGATGTAGCAGCAAAAGATGCAAGAGTGGTGCTTTTGGGAGTAATGAGTGGGACGAAATTACCAAGTGGTGTTGATATGGGTGCATTTATTTTTAAGAGAGTTAGATTTGAAGGAAGTACGTTGAGGAGTAGAGATGTGGATTATCAGGGTAAATTGAGAGATAAGTTGGAAGAATACCTTCCTAAATTTGAGGATGGTACGTTCAAGATTTTTGTGGATAAGGTTTTCCCGTGGGAAAAGGTGGTTGAGGCCCATAAGGAAATGGAGAAGAACACCAGTAAGGGGAAGATCATCTGTACAATTTCTTAGGGGGACTGAAATGCAGTGTATACTAGCGCTCAACTTGTAGATTCATCTGATTATAAACACAAGAGGCATCTTTTGCACCAGTATACCGTTCCTTTTCTCAAAAAATCAACACATATAATCACAAATCACAAAACTAAGCTTTCTTCCGTTTACTCGCAGTTCACATCACATTCCCGACTCCCAAAACCTCAGACCCTAATATTTACCCCATCCCCACAACATCATAATCACCCCTCCCCCATCTATAACAATACTCGCGCATAACGCAGGCCCAAAAGCCACAGTCCCGAAATACAACCATTCCAATCCCCAAAAGCCTGCTATTACCATATAAGCCCATAGGGTAAGGAAATATAGTTCAGGAGAGGAAAGATTATAAGCGGTTATCAAACGGAGCATACCGCTCACAAGAGTGTAGCAGCCGAAGGTACGGGCAAAGAGGGCACTTGCTTGATGGGGAGATGGAGAGGAGGTTTTAGAGGAGGTGGAAGTGGAAGAGGTGATGGTGGAATGTGGACCGAAAAAAAGGGTTTGGGTGGCCGAGAGGGAAAGAAAACATTGGGCGGAGTTGTAGAAACTGATGATGGCGTTCTGTGGGTGTTAGTTGGGGGAGTGGATAGGGTAGTAGAATTGTTGGTCTGTTTTGGAAGGTTTTTGGATTATAGTGTTGAGATTAAAGACGGGAAGAATAACTCACGAAGAGCAGCCAGTATGGCAAGATGCCTTGACCTTGTGGAAGATAGAAAGCCATAATATTTTTCAGTGTGATATTATAGACAGACCGATTGGGTCTGCTTACTCGGTTTCGTAGTGCGAACTGTAGCAGTAAGTGCGTTGATGGGACAAAAGACACGGCATATGATGAGTTCATATATATATATATATCCAGAGGGGTACTGTGTTTTCGTTGTTGCAACAGCCAGCTGGTCTCACTCGCGAACAGTAATAACCTTACGAGGGTTGCTCTTGCCGGGTAAGCTCAACATCATACTTGGATTCTGTGGGGTTCAAAGAAACTACGTAACTCAAATATGATTTAGCCGTTATAGAGAAAGACTTTGTAACCACGTTTGTGTTTCCGGCAGAAAACCTCTCGATGCAAACACAATGCAGAGCATGGAGTACATCCGAGAATTTCCACCCCCTTCCACGCAAGATCGGATCTCGATCGGCCAAACTTCGGATCGGATTTGTCTCAATGCCACAAGGTTAAAATCTGTTCTCTCAGACCTCACGCCTCATTCAGTCTGCACGGGATCTCACACGCAACATTCAACGAACAGGATTTATGAAATCCTTGCATTTTGCTTAAGCTATAGACTATCGCAATTGTAATATCAACGCTTTTGGGGACATTCTTTGGGATATTCGCTAGAATCTTGATGTCTAATATTGTTTTGCTTGTTTTCTCCCAGCCTTCATGGATATGGCGCCTGCCTCAATACGCCCTGAGCAATGCTTATGTATCGGCAAGTGCAATAGATATCATAGTAAAGCTATTACGCAGATGCTTCTTCCCTAGCATTTAATTCTGCGTATAAAAGTACAATCGAACTTATGAAGAAGCTATTCAAGAGACGGTTATGCAGATGGGGATTTGCTATCAAGCCATACTTCTGCAGGCGCCCATACACGTCCCTGTTGATAATTCTCTCCATCGTCTGTCCCATAGACCATCACGAGTGGGTGCACAATCACATCAATTGGCTTTCCTATCAGTCGGTCTTCGTGACTTTCGTAATCTACCGAAGAATGCGAAAGCAGATGTTTGTCATCAGGATCGAAAGTGGGACGATTCAAGCTCTGTAAAGTATAACACTTCATTCTGGTCCTTCTTGTCCATAAATTGTACGACATTGTGGCTGCCTCGCGATGTATAGTGTAAATCTTCTCCCGAGCTTCATTGGCGATGAGATAACGAGCTGGCCCTGCTAGAAATTTTGAAGCTTGTTGATTTGCTACTTCCGCTATCGCTTCCTTCGTTATCTCATGTAAAGCTACTTCTCCATTTGAGATGTCAGTCTCTATCGGGGGAAATAGGAGTCTCAAAGTCTGGGATCGCCAAAGATGAGCATTTTCTTCGTTTGCTTATAAAGAGATTAGTCTGATTCTCTCGAGTCGTTGTATAATTCACTTACAAAGAATACCATAATCGTATACTTCTTCTAGTCCATCACGGCAATCTAGCCTTGAAGATTGGCCTTCGATGATTCTTTCCGCAAAAAAGAAGGGGCTTCGAAACAAGGTTGTATAGATACCATGGGAAAGAAGAGCATTCAGAAGCAGTCCCGGTGTCTTTTTCGATCTAACCAAACCGTTGGGAAGTGTATTATCATCCCGAAACTGGACCACACGTTCCAACGTACCCCTCAAAGCTGCACTAGCGCTATCATCAAGCGGGCTCAGAACAGAAGCCATGTCGTTTAGAATTCCTGCTTTCTTCGCCCAGCTTCGCATATCTCTCTTGAGCCTATCAAAGTCTCCCATAACTTTCCTATCTTCGGCAGGCCTCCAGTGTGAGGTTGTCATTTGACTAAATGTTACTTCCTGTTGCTTTTGGATAAACGCATTATGCTTTTCTTCGATTGCTAACTTGTCAGACTCGAGTTGTTCGATTTTGGCTTGTAATCTGCGTGTGTCCTCGTCCATATTGTCCAAATGCCGATCCATGTCATTCACATATCTGTTGAAAGATCTTTCAATTTTCCTTTTGTCTTCTTGCAGTTTTGTACATTGTTCTCTCCATCTGGCACTTTCGTCTCGTTCTGCAATACTCGGTGTATCTTGCATCCTATTTTCGTGTGATTGTAAACGCTTGAAAGATTGCTCTGCACTGACAGGATTATCGCGCTTTCCGCGCCACTCTTCACCGTTCGATGTCGCTGTAGATCGTGTAGAATTTAAGGAGGGGCGAGTCACTTCAGCTGTTCCAGCAGTGATATATGGCTGATCTTCTGTCTCATAGAGATTGTATTAGCCATATCCTTAATAAAATTGTGAGCGAGTACCTCTTTTCATGTATCGCGCATTACTTTGTATCCTCTGCTCAACCCTTTCCGTAGGTCCTGAAATCATTTCATTCTTGCATCTGCTGGTGTCTTGTTCAAGGGAGGCTTGTTGTATATCCATCGAAACTCTTCCTTCCATTTTGAATGAACGGGGCTTGGCCTCGAATTTGCTTGTTGCGCGCGATGGGTGCTTCTCCATCGAAGGGTTTTCGTGCTTCGATTTTTGATTCCCTGTCCTTTGAAAAATTGTAGATCTTTTGTTTCGATATTTGCGAGTCATCCTCAGGTGCTCTTTGCCAGCTTTGGAAGGGATTCGCCTTAGAAGAGGAGGAGACAAATGATGAGGAAATGCAATAATGTTCCCTATTTCTATTTGCGTGATCTGAAATTACCTGATAAATTGACAATTGTTTGCTTCCCACGTGCCCATGTACCCGTTTGCTTAAAAAGAAAGTGAATTAAAGCGGGGTCAACTTTTGACAATTACATGCAAAGTAGACTTGTTCTATTTCCATTTTCTAATTCTTCAAGACTTCATACAGCTGGAGTACCGCAAACAACCTCATAGTTGACCAGAATTAATTCCAAACCTTATCAGTCACGGCCATTATCATGAGTGGTACAAAGGGTCGTAAATGCCTGAAAAGGGCCAGAGATTCGGTCATTCCGAAAGGAGAAAGCCACAAAATTATCATTGGGATTGATTATGGTACAACCTTTTCAGGTGGGCAAGTCAAATTGTGCGGTGTTCACTTCTAACAATATTGCAGGCGTTAGTTACGTGACCTCTGACAAAGTTGGCTTGGAAAACATCACGATTATGTCCCCTTGGCCTGGAGATCCTCATGTATCGTGGAAAACTCCTACGAGAATCGCATATAGTCAGGAAAATCCGAAACTAACAAACAATAAGTGGGGATTCGAAGTCAACTCCAAACTTGTGTCATACTCATGGACTAAACTCTTGCTCGACAAGAATGCTGCTTCGAGGAAGCACGACGATCCATCACTCGCGGGTATGACTGGTGCTGGAATGTTGCAGTTACCCCCCATTTCGTGATGCGGCAGGCGTCTGTGAGGACTTTCTGCATGAGATATACAAATATGTTTCAGAAAAATTGAGGCGACAAATGACTGACCTGACCTTTGAAAACACCCCTATAGAATGCTGGGTAACACTACCTGCTGTATGGTCAGACGAAGCAAAAGATGCCACCCTGAAAGCTGCTAAGAATGCTGGATTTGGGAACAGGCCAGGAGACAATATTTACACGATTGCCGAGCCAGAAGCCGCTGCAATTGCGACTTTGAAGGAATATTCCATTCCAGGTGCAATGAACCCTATTGTGGTATGTGTCAGGTCACTAAATCGATGGTAGATACTAACGACTGTAGTGTGATGAAAACATACTAATCTGTGATTGTGGTGGGGGAACTGTTGACATCACAACATATAAAATCATCCAAGTGGAACCAGTCCTTACTTTTGTTGAGCTATGTGTTGGTATCGGTAGGTTATGTTCACGTCCCGCAATGTACCTGTTTATCCTAACTTATATTTTTTTTAGGTGGAAAGTGCGGATCAACATACATCGACCGCAACCTTCATACTCTGCTATCTAATCGCTTTGGGTTAGCATATGGCGATCTATCTGTTGGTCAAAAAGGCCCAGGTAGCAGATTTATGGCTTCATTCGAAATGTTGAAACGGGACTTCGGACGCAACGATGATAAAGAGACTGGGGAGTTGGGTCCTCTCAATCTTGACGTCCCGAACTCTGAACACTATGATGTGGAGGATCGCGTAATATATCTTCAACAGTTGGGTTCTCTGTTCATGTTCGCGAGAATTTGATGTGCTAACACGGTTCCCTCAGCCAAGATATGCAAGCCCTTTTTGATCCTGTCATCACAGAGATTACAAGCTTGGTAAACCAGCAAGTGAATGCGGCAAGGGACACTCAAAATGCGAAAATTAATGTATGGTTCCATGTCAAATGAATGCATTTGAGGTTGTAAAGACACTCACATTTCCTTAGCGTATTATCCTCGTCGGAGGTTTTGCCGAGTCCCCATACCTTAACAAGAAGTTGAAGGCATGGTGCAAGCGAAACGGGAACATGACTTTGATTTGTCCTTTACACCCGTGAGCCAGGATCTACATGCAATGCTGATCTGTAGTTATGCTAACTTTCTTCAGACAGTCTGCTGTTGTGCGTGGCGCTGCCTTACGTGGGCTAGAAGGAATTGCGCCTCGGGTGAAGCAAGTCCGTCGTCATTATGGTGTTTGTTTGGGTAAGGTTTTCCGAGAAGGTATAGACTCAGAGATTGATTCTTACATTGACCCATGGGAAAATTTGAAGATATGTAGTGGACGAATGGAATGGCTGATTCTTAAGGCAAGTCACTCAACAAGCCCCATATATTTCTTTGAAACCTGTACACTAGGCAGCTATCAGGCCAAAACCCCCGATGATCAATATAATTTCATAGCAACACCATAGAGGCTTCTTGCTTCATCCCAACTTTCATACTAACCAACGAAATGTGGCAGGGGGACGAAATAACCAAGGACACTTCTAGAATTATTGTTTGTAGCAGGCAATATATACCTCATGAAACAATAATACTCAAGAGTATACTTTACGCTCGTGTTTCAGCAGAACCTCCCGAATATCTTTCTGACCCTGGTTTGTGAATCATTAAGCTAAAACCAAAATCATAGGCTAACACGGTATAGGAGTCGAGAAAGTTGGAGAAATTCAGACAACTCTAGATAGTAGCTTGAATTTGGGTGAAAATACTGAGGCGCAATTCAATGCTCGACTCGGCCGCCGGGTGCAGAGGCTTCCCTTTCAGCAGCAAATCGTATTTGGCAATAAGGGCGATAATCTCACGTTCAAGTGTCTTATTGGTGGAAAGGAGATATGCAAGTCGACCATGAACTTCGATCGTTGAAATTGCAGGAAATTCCATCAGCAAAGTCTCGATCATTCAGAAATGTTGTCTTCTTACTAACGCGACTATTCGTTCTGCTTTCCTTTTATTACTCCTCAAAAAGGAAACAATCTACTCGAAATCGAAGCTTCTATTTCAGTCCGCTTTAGGATGACTGATTTTCAATACCGGGGCGAAAAAGTGGTCCTGCGTTGGATATCACAAAATGAAATTATTTTACAGAAAATTTGATTTCTCAGGTCGTGATAATGGAAGATCTGCTTATATGTGAGAACTTCAGCCTCCAGCCCGTGAAAAGCAGACTGAGACTTCAAAGACACTATTATTAAGTTGCTTATCAAACAAAATTAAGGATTGAAGTTCAAAAAGCAACTAGGGACTGCAGAGCGTTCTCTTGTTGATGCTTCACAAGATCAATGGATGTTTTCAGATTCATAGACTTCTCCTTCTCATCAAATGCCTTTGGAGACAGCATGCATTCTCTTCGAAATTTGTCTCTTTTCAATGTTCATGTCTTTCATATGCGAGGCTTATAGCAATCCGAGCCGCTGCACCACGAAGTTTTCTATTCTGGGATTCAATCATTCAAAATATTAGATCATGTTCATCGCACGCTTTTCAAACTTCCCGCGCCTGGCATCTAATTAGCTATTCCTTTAGGTTGAACACTAGTGCATCCGTCATTGTACAATCTCTAGAACTAGCCGCGTTGCTCAATCATCCATGGTTTTGCATACGGTGTGAGAAGGATTACAGACAATAAATATCACCCTAATTTCTAATGGCAAAGAGATTTTGACTTTCACGCACGAAAACCCTATCATTATATTTTCCTTCATGGACTCAGATACTATCCATTCACTCTTCAAAATTTCCATGTCCATTATATCTTCACTAAATCAACTACCATTACCTTAACAAAAAAACAAGCTTTCCCGCAAATTCTCCAAATTTGACAAACCGATGTTCTGAATGGACAAGTATTTCGCGAAGGATGGGGGTTCCCAATTACTTCTATTGAAAATATCCAGTAGAATCTGCAGTAGCACTCCAAACACCTACAACAAAATCTAGATAGCTGAACTAGGATAAATCTCTAAGGTGGAATTGTGATCAGGTTTTTGCCAGTTGTATATCCGAATATCGAAGCTTGAGTTTAGTAGTGCTCAGTGGAGATAAGAGTCATGCGAAATGGAGAAAGCGAGTATCTGATCAGATACTTCATTCGCTCGATATGCCATGCCCGAAGTCACAAGTTTTCATTCTCTAGGGAAATTTTTGCGGCAGGAGGATCCGAATTTTGATGGTTGAACATAGAGATTTTAGCGAGAAGCAATTATCCCAATCTTCTCATTATTATCTTGAAAGGCTGTCGTGATACGGTCATCTCATATACTTTAAGAATGTTTGTGATGCTCTCTCATAACTTGTAGAAGTACAGCATTCACCACTATCTTCTAAGTTTGAAGATGAAGTTGATAGGAACCAATATCAGAGCTGCCTCGATCCTGGATAAGAATAAAGTAGAGACCTGATTACATGTCCATAGAAACCCGGGGACATGCCTGGTGAAATGTATCATCGAGAGTGTGGTGTGATCCATTTACAATAAGCATTGTGGGCGATAAAGCAGAATCTCTCCAATCTTCAACAACCTCACATCACTTCTATCATTTTCTCTGACTGATCAGAGCCATCATTGTAAGACCTCACTGATACACTAAGGTTTCTGCTTTTTCGAAAGAGATAGAAAGAAAGTAAATTATTGACATTGTTGAAAACTTCCCTGAAGTATTTTTTCGTCTTTTAAGTCTATCTTAATTCAATAACTCCAATGCTGTATTCCCACAATTCTTGTCTAATCTTGTTGTCCACCAGGGACCCCGCCGGAAAACTGATTTCAGGAGACTTTCGATTACCACTTCGATGTTACAGTCTTTTTCAGCCCGAAATCTCTCTATTTTGGCTCCATTGCTTCTCACTGTCTAGATTAATTGAATATCCGAGCAAATGATGAATTCCTCTCTAGCGTTCAGCACCAGGCCACGCTCATTCCCCGGCGTGAGTTCCTGAAACACACTCGAGTTTTCATACAGACATCGATTGATGAATCAAAAACACTCTAGAATGTGGATAGCCAGCTCCCACATACTATTGCTCTTGCGTACGTTTATACCATTCAGACCCCCCGACCATTAAATCATTCCACCGTAATTATTTCCTCGTGTTCCATAATCTGCGCGCTTGCCATGTCCCACAGAAGGTTCCAGATAGAAAATGCCGCCACGCCTTTTAGGAGGACTCTTTCTCAGAGGCTTGGTCAACAAATCTCCTGCTCGTCTTACTGCATTAGATTCATGGAGAGGCCAGACTTTGGGTGCAGAGTTGTGAGAATATCTTGCAGCTATTCTTGCTGCTTCTTCGACCAGACTCTGTGGCGTACCCTCGTGATACTCTAATTTGCGCTGCAAAACCAGAGCGTCATCGTCTGACCATAAATAAAATTTCTCATTGTGACCAACTTTCGTGTTCCAAGGAGTCAGTACATCCCAATTTCCGGATTGTTTCAGCAAGCCTTTGATTTCATTCGTCAATGACCATTGTGGTTTTTGAAGACATTGCTTTTGGTAGTGCTCGGAAACGTGGGCCATTCTTGCTACTTGAGGTTAGTAAGAGTTTTCATGAGCCCAAATTTTTTGACATCCATGTCATCGATCAGATCATTTCCACATCAAACAACAGAAAAACCCAAAAAACAACACAATCGTAGATGGATATGAAGATGTGACTTACCATCCCAAGTTAAGAGACAATCACCACAGAAGCCACAGCCCCAAGCCTTCCTTTCGGGCAACTGTTCATACCACGCCTCCCATGCAGTTGAATCTTCCGACAAAGCATGATACTGCTTCAAATGAACCCTTAACTTGTCCTTCCTAGGAGAACTCCTTTCACACAAAGGTTTACCCAAGCAATTTGCAAGGTTGTGTTCCTGAATGAGATGATACCACATCTCATTGCGATTTCGATTAGGATGTTTGCATAATGTGCAAGACCAAGTATCAAGCATCTGAGCAGCGGACTCTTCAATCATACAGTGCCACGATTTCTGTTGCTGGCACTTTGTCTCTTCGTGTCTTTTCCAGTCGCCTTTGGCACCTTTGCGTCCGAATATCATACCGCATCTTGTACAATCATATCTTGTAAAATTCTGAGGTATATCTGGTAGTTTCTTGGAATCAAGATTTGTGCTTGAATCGTGTCGCAGGCTTGTGGGTGGTTGGAGTGTAGATTCCAAGATGTGGTTTCGAGTAGTATCCTGACTTGCACTGAGACCATCAACTGACTTGTATTGCGATTCGGAAGCCGGAGCAAGTTCCATCGGCTGCATGGTATGATAGTGCTGGGAGCTCGGGGTTGCGTTATTTGGGTCTGTTTCCTGGGTTTCGTCTACGGAGAAGAGCGTCGATGTAGTGCCACAAGTGCGTCCGGATGATCTGTTCGAAGCGCTATTACTCCCATAGCCTGATAGCATCGACGGTAATGAATCGGTATCGGAGAATGACATCCTATCCGAGTGATCCGGACCTTGTTGCGGGGACTGACCGAACCGATTTGCATAGTGTTGGTAATCCATCGAATGTGTCGAGAAGGGCCTATAAGAATCATACCGTGGTTGTTCGGAAGAAGAGCCATCATTGGGGGCTATTTCGAAGCCAATCACGTTGTTGTCAATTGGGATGGGTGTCGAGTCTGACATGTTGGGGTATGCACACTCGAGATTGTGGTTTCCAGAACCATTTTTGTTAATCTCAAAGGACTGCCCTACTTCTTTAGAAGTAGTTTGGAGATTGAGAACTACTAATCACTATTAGATGCCATTTTTGTACCAGTAAAAAGACGTTATACTTACGAAAATTCTCGTGATTGTCCCACCAATGATTTATCTGCTCTTGCTGTAGACCTGTCTCGGCCACCATATAGGCCATAAAGTCATTCTGGGGCCTGCCCAGGTTATGTAAGGCCCATCGCTTCAACTTAGCCTCTTGATCATCCCTCATGGTAGTATAATCGTAACGGCTAGCGTGGCTGGTATCGAGGTCGTTTGTTCTGTAGTGAGGGATGGCGATATATAGATACAATGCTGGCCTTATATAAAGTTCACAATGATATTTTGAAAGAAACGCATCAATTCTGAGCTTAAACTCGTGATTGACTGCCGCTATATATATATAATATTGATAAGTCACTTTGTACTCACATCTTTGCAGCTCGTAGGGCAAAAATCCGGAAGGGCTACTCTTTGCAAACTTTCGAAACATGACGCACTTTCGAAGAACCCTCGCTTCATGATTATCTGCCTGTAGTCGGCATTGATGGGTTGTGATACACGGTAGTCATTGGCTTGGATTCGAAGAACGCTTATGTCAGGAGGCGGAATCGGGATTCATTCTAATTGATTCGTCTATCTTGAAACATCTGTTAGAGATGAGATGCCTTTTTCGAAATTTAAATTGTGGTATGAAATGACATGCCGTCCGATCGAAGAAAGCCCTTTACGACGGAGGATAGCGGTGAATGGGCGGAAATCTCATCGATGTATGACGCCTTTTTGGGACGAATAGTGACAGAATGCAACTTTTTTAAGGGCAGGTTGCTAGTTTTGTTAGATGCAGATCGAATATTATGTTAAGTAGTACAAAGTCACTCGTTGTATAATTATAGAATTAAAATATCTCTGTGGACCAATCAAATGCCTAGTTTCAAGGAGACATGGGATTTTTATGTTTACTGGCTCGATTGGTGGTTTCATTCAGTAAATCGGAATACACCGGTAAGCATGCAGGGGCAAGATTCTACCCTGCAAAGGGCTTTCGCCCTCATGGTTAAGAATTAAGTGAAGAAAGATTGGTTCTTGAGATGCGGAAATATTTCTCGATTTTTTTGCCAAGCCAAAAAGAACATTTGATGTCAAATTGGAAAGAATTAACGTTACCTTGTCTTGTTGTGATCAGCCTAGCCCCGATTTTGATACCCATCAAAATGCTTTGGTTTGACAAATCTAATATGGGCGATCACCCCTTGATGTCATGTTCTGATATCGTTAAAGTAGGGGTCGCGTCAAAGGTTAGTTAGTTGTGTCGTGAATATTGGGTTTGCGACCGTAAGGTTAGCCCTAGCGACGCCCCTCCTTTTCTGTATAAATAATTTTCCAAACTGAAACTTCTAGAAATGCCCTAATGAATGCTGTCTCAATGTGTATACTTCTGCGGCCAGTAAACTCAAGGGCGATAGTATGATGTGTTTACAAATATTCCTTGGCATTCCTGATTGAATGTCTGAGCGAGGGTTGTTCTTAAATGAGAGGGCTAAGTCCTCCCAAGCAGGGCTCAAATAAGCTTTTTCGAGCATTATATAATACAGCCTTTGCCAGAATGCGGAGACAAAAGACTATGGACGATGATTAGCTTATGAGTTTTGCACAAAAATTCCGATAGCTAGTAATTTGCTCATGGCTTCAGCGACAGTTCGAGGGCCATATTGCGATATAGAGTATGTACCTAGCTATATACGGGGCTACTTACCGAGTCACCAACATGCATGCATAGTCATAAGCCGGAAATAGTCTTCCCCGCACCAAGACCAACCTCAAAATAGGCCCAACAAGATAACAGTTTTAGAATCTTGATTCATTTGCTGATCCTGATTGATCAGAGTGATCTTTCATCTTGTTGGTGCCTCATAAGACGAAAGTTATATTACTAAATATGTATCCCCAGAAATCATGTTCCTCAAAGACAGAGCAGGGCCTTTCCTCATTATTGCTGGGTTCCTAACGCAGAATCTTCTTTTAGAGTCCCATATGTATGCAAAATGCCCCTAAGATACACACTTCACGAAGCCACAACTCGCGCCTAATCAGACGCAATTTTCGATTTAGCTTGGATTGCCTGGCACGAGCCCTACATATCTTCTTTCCAACTTTTCCATCCAGTACATGGTCCTACAGCTCAAGATCGCGAGGCGGCTGTCTTGGCCAACAAGGAAAGAGCATGGAAGACTCATTTGGCACCCAAGGAGGGTGTTAGCCATTGGATTTACGCAGTCGATCAGGGTAATAGTACAGTTATCGGTGCTTGTTAGGTAATTCTCCCCCTATCCACTGATACCTTCATTGTGCTAATGGCAAATAAATTCACCGGCTCATATTTACAGAGATGCCGTGGCCCAACGAGCTCCGTAAGATAGTTACAACTTGGTGGCTGGAAGGAGAAGGTAGGAATCTTGCAACCGAGTTTGTGAGACAGTTTTATACACCTCGACAACAATGGATGAATAGACCTCATATGGGTAAGCCAATCTTTCCCTAATTCTGCTGTGTAGTCTGCATCGCCTTGTTGGAATCGTCGTAACCTAACCATTCTTGTGTAGCTCTGAATCAAACATTAGTGCATCCAAAGTACAGAGGAAAAGGTGTAGACACACTTCTGAAGGACCGGGGCACCAACATGGCAGATGAGTTAAAATTAGAAGGATTCATCGAGGTAAGCAAGATACAACATTGATTTCTCTTTCTTGCTTTCTGTTATATCTTGAAAGCTCTGCAGAACATGCTAAGTCCTCTGCAACCTTCAGGCATCAGACAACGGCCGCAGTCTCTATCAAAAACACTGATTCAGAGCTCTCATGAAATTGTCAATCAGCTTGGAAAAGAAAACGCAAGTGGAGAATGGAACAGGTTGCTGCATGAATTGGGACCATCTAAGTTTTATATTAATTATAGGCCAGTTGGAGGAGAATTTGAAGAAGGGAATCCACTGACACCCTGGCAGGTAGATCAGATGTTAGCGAAGAAGAGTAGAAGTGATTTGAAATGTCCTGTTATGAAGCTTGGCCCATAGGACGGTCGGGTCAAATTATCAAGTTCATTCTCTTGAATTCGTAGCAACCGTGCGGAGATCTGCCGTTGATACTATCGCACAGTTCGCAAACAGGAATGAATGTTCAGCTCAAGTAGAGTAGCTAGCAGAAAGCTAGTTAGCATATTGTGAACTTCAGAAGTTAAAACAAAGCCAGTATATCCTATCGTTTTGAAGCCTACGCTACAGGGGATGTGATTTAGACAAGCGCGATTATGAGTTTTCCAACATCATGGTTTTTAGAGCAGCCAAAGAAATTGGTATCTTGGGCAATGTTCCCCGATCTTTCGGAGTGATGGATATCTGCGAGGAAGCATTGCGGTTATCAAGCGATGACAATCTGCATCCCGGGACCGTATGCCATGAGGGGATAGAAGATAGACAGACTGAAGTTGGGCTTGTTTCCTTCCACAAATCCCATGTTGCCTTCTTAGCAAACGCTTTCGATACATAGTTCGATTGGTGTTTGGGTATTCACTGCAAAAACATCGGTTGTCAAATGACAATCATTTTCGCTGTATATATCGCCAGATCTCGACATCTTGTCCAGATCTACAATTGAGGCAAAAGACGAGGTAAACATAATCTGGTATACTTGAGGAGTTTTCTTCTGAACAGCTTCCAAGATATTAGTTGTGGATTTAATAGCTGGAATAAGAACGGCACACCTATAATACTGAACGCTCATAACAAATGGGGATACTGAATTGGCCAACTAGACCATGTGAGTGTGTGGCCCATGGCTATTGTATGGTGCAGCTTTGATTGATCATCAAACTAGTGATCTTGTCTTTCTATGCTAACAAAACTCACGGCCATCGCAACTTCAACAAAACGACCAACTCTCAATCAAGGTGTTGATGAAGATACATTTATCATTGCAACACTTCATGAAGACTGTCCGGTAGAGGCCTCTATCCCACCGCGGATATCGATCGAAAGATCGACAGGGTGTTTCGAGATCAACCGTAAACATTTGCTTCGTTGGAATCACAATTACCTCTGATATGATAGGAGCGCCTGCTGTTACATAGATTGATTATCGATCCGAAGAATTGCATGCAAGTTTGTAGGGTTGTCCAGGTTGGGAGGACGAAGAAGAAGAAGTACCAAATGGCCGTCTTGAATTCGAACATTTGAGACGTCGAGATTGAGTAGACCCCACAAGATAAGCCATCCGCAGTTCTCCTATATAGATATCCAAAAGTGTTGATAACAAGCAATGGATCACATAGTTGTTTTTTGAGTTCTTGCCGCCGTGACACGGAGAAATAGAAGCCCACCAAAAGGAAGCGCAGCAAAGATAAGCTCACCGGGTGCCCTCAGCTTAGATCGTCGTAAAGACCTAGGACTGGGTCTCTGGTTTTGTCGAACTTCTTGAATTATAGAAAGCAAATGTAAAGGCGGGCTATAGGGTAGATCCACCAGCCATATATCGGGGAGCGTTGGGGATTGTTCTTTTATCCGGAACTACAGGCACATCTCCTTGCAACCAATGCTTGACAAAGCTCTGCACTAGAATCTGGAAAGTTCCGTGTACCCAACTACTCCTTTGTAACGTCCTGTCTACACATTGCCAGGTTTGCAAAATTCTTTTCCCCTCATTTCATCAACAAAACCAAGCCACTTGATCATCGACAGGAATGTATCTATGATAAGATGAAAGTCGGAGGTTAGGAATCGGAGTTTCGAATTGACAGCTGTCGATCGAATTCCATTAAGCCCTATGAAACTTGACAGAATCTTTAGAGGATCGCTGCGGTACACGCTAATTGAATTTAAACTTTCGCATTTGCGTGTTCAGGGTTCTGGAAGACCCCACTTTGGGCTATTTAAGCTAAGCACTATTCTAAATGCCCCTATTAAACTTCGCTATGCGTTATGCGAAGTGATTTGATTGGTTCAAGAGATGCTTAAACTTTTCACTGTTGTGCCCAAATGTGCTATTCTGATTCTAGATATGGGACGCCAGGAAATATTGTTGTGTTTCGACATAAGACGGTCTTTTCGAAATTCCAACATAATGTGCGACTGCTATTATGATAGATTTCATGTTTTACTATATAGATGAGAGGTCTTCTCTCGGGTAAATACATCTTCACAACACATCTTATCATACTATTCTATCCATCTAACATCTACATTCCTCATTATAAATTTCAAATCGATCTCCACTTCCCCAGATTCCTACTCAAATTACAAAAATAAACGCAATCATGGTAGCCACAGCAACCCTGGATTCATGTCCATACTACTGCTATGTACCAGTTATGGCAGTCTCAGCTATGTTCGCCGCAATTTTCGTCCAGACAACACTTCTACACACATGTCAAATTTCGCGAACAAAGACCAAGTTTTTCATCCCCATTGCAGTGAGTGGTTTACGTAAGTCGCTGAAGACCCGGGGATAAAGTTGCAGTACTAACATGCATCGATAGTCGAAGCAATCGGTTATGCATGCCGCTTAATTTCACACTTCGAAACACCAAAATTTTCAGTTATCCCTTTCTGCATTCAATACACTTGTATTCTCGTATCGCCAACCATCATAGCAGCAGCAGTCTACATGTACTATGAGCACCTCGTCAAAGCCGTGGGCGGCGAATCACAATCTCCAATCCGTCTCAGCAGATTCCCAAAGATTTTTCTCTTCTTCGATTGTTTCTCCGTTATCATCCTCATCGTCGGTTCCATCTTTCGTCTCACGACTACTTTGCCCATTAGTTGGATTAGACTCGGTAACAGACTTGTCATGATGGGTCTCGGCGAACAATTAGTCTTCCTCGTCATCTTCGTCTTCACAGCCGCGAAATTCCAATACAACATTTCGCAGAACCCTACAGAACGCATTTCTGCAACCGTGGAACCAAAGTCTCCTCGTGCAGGTATTCCATACAAGAGACATCTCGTAGCTATGTACATCGCCTCTGCTTTTATTGCCATTCGATCTTTGATCCGCTTGGTGGAGAACTTGACAGGTACCACTGGACTCATTAGAAGTCATGAGGCGTTCCTGATTATTTTCGATGGAGCATTGATGCTTAACTTGATGTTGCTCTTTCACTATATTCATCCTAGTGAGATTGCTGCATTCGAAACTTTCTACGCTAGTGACGGAGCTGATACTTCCCTTCCTTACTTTGCCGGGTTGAAGGCTTGGCAGAGAAAGAGATTAAGTCGGAATGGTATGATGGAGTTCTAGGGAGGGAAAAGGATTATATTCGGGGAAAGGGTTAGATTTCTGATTTGGATATGGATTAGTGAATTTATTTTGGAGTTTGGACATTGCAAACATTGGAGCTCGGAAGAAGTGGTATAGGAAAGGAACAACATTCATTTATGAAATACATCACCATGAATTTCATTTGTTAAGTGATGGAGAACCAAGCATAGAATAGAACAATCAAAAGAACAAATAAAACATAAAACATAAAACAAATCTCGATTTTCGAGTTTTGACTCAAATCATTCTCCGAATCGCTTTCAAACTTTTATTCCATAACAGAATATACTTCAATTCTCTCCAGCGAACTCTTCACTTCAATTTCCCCTCGAAAAACTCTTCCAAAAACTCATTAATCTGACCCTTCGCTTCAAAGTGCACCCTATGGCCTGTAGAACCCACCTCTGTAACAGAAAATCTTTCGCAAACAACTCCATATGCTTTGACACACTCTCCATCCTCACAACGCTCTTGTGATACTGCTCAATAAAAAGTGCACGGCATGGGATTCGTGGGTCAAGTTTATCCTCTTTTTCCTTTTCGATACCTAGACCTTGTCCATAACGACAACGGTACCAATTTCTCGGGCCACGGAAACTGGAATCTGAGAATATCTGAGAACGATTGGAGACATGGAGGGGAATTTGCCAAGTTGGGGGTGGAGCTATGTGGTTCTCTTTTAAGGAGGCAGGGAGGGCACCGAGGGCGTAAAATCTCTTGGTTGTGTCTTCCTCGGAGCCATACATGAGGGAGTAAAAGCTGTCAGCCTTAACTATGTCAGTTTGTGTAACTTCGAACCTCAAACTTGATGAGCTTGAAACCAAATGTAGAGATTACACATACATGTTCATCCATCAATTTCCAAAAATCCTCTTCAAAGAAAAACCGCACATACCCGAGTCTTTCGAACCTTCATTCTTGCTCTGTCACCTGCCTTACCAGGTACAAATCAAATCGCATTCCTGGCGGGGCATATGGAACTGCCGAAAAGGTACTTGAATGAAATCTGGTAGGATGATAATTGATCAGTTGCGACAAGAAAAGGCTGCCAAAATCATGGCCTACCGCATCGACTTTCTCAATGTTTTCGTGATTGAGTAGCTCAGCAATGTCTGCAGCCATGGTTTTGAAAATATAAGGCTCTAGCGTGTCGGGTTATCAGTACCGCCGTAGCCTAGTAGGTCGGGCGCAGTGATGCAATATCTTTTAGAAGCGAAGTAGGGGATTTGATGAAGCCAGTCATAGGGTTTAGACGGAAAACCATGGAAAAAGAGAATAGTGGATTTGCAAAAGTCGGTCTTGAGAATGTAAACATAGGCACAAGACAAGTCGTGCCAGAAGGCAGGATGACAGTCTTAGAGTTCAAGGGAAATCCTATGGCTGCCATTGCGAGCCTTTGGATCGCACAAGTGGGAATAGTATTTAATTATAAAGAGAAATTTAGTCTAGATAGTTAAGATATGAAGGAGAAACTTTTGCGGGAAGCAAGTGAGTAGGCACTGTGCCGCGCAGATTGTAACTGCCGGTATCTTTCGTGGGAAAATAAAATGACGTAACATAATGAGAGGCTATAGATAATATAATAAAGGCGATGCAATAGAGAATGATCCGCGACATGAGCTGCCATATTCAGAATCTCACACATGGTGATGTGCATACAATTAAGTTGTCGGAGAACCGTAAACTGTCCAACTAAAAATCTACAAGCCCTTCCATATTTACACTGAATCTCGATTCCTCCCTCATGGCAACTTCGCAAAGCCTACTGCGATGACTCTTTAGATCTTATATAGCGTAACCGCTATTTTCTCGCATCATTCTCTAGAATTGTCCAATGTTTTGAGATTTTCGCGAGAATGATCTGAGCCACTCCTTACTTCTGAGCGTTCTCATTGCGTAGCCGTCACTGTTACGCATCGTCAATCCTTGATTGCTACTAGGGACAAGAGACCGTTTCAATATCAAGTGCCTTGTGTGATTTCCCTCAAGCGATGCCGGCCCAAAATCTGTCGATAATTTCCTTGATTTTGATGCGAATGAACTACAAGCCGCGTCAAAGCACAGAAGAAACATGCAGTGCCAAAAATGAAGCTATACCAGGACACACCAGAGCCTGCGTCTACTCAAAATATAACAATAGATATGAAAAGTTGGAAGATGCAACAAATGTTCAGGAGAAGCAAGACCAATATGTGGATAAGTCTCCAGCAAGCGGACTCCAACAAAAATTTAAAAAAGCAATAGCAGCGGATTATGTTGATCTGAGGCATGACCCCGGAAGAGCCAGTTGTAGCAACCCGAATAAAAAAAAAACTAGTTGGCATATGAGATGAAAGTTTTGTGTGTGAAAATTCTCCGTGCCAGAAATTGGAAAAGCTCTGGCCTTTTGATGGCCTCGAAACTAGATCCATTAGCCAGAAGCAATGCCACGGACGACTTCGTCAGAGCAGAACCCCGATGATATACAGGGAGGAATTGGAGGCCTATATCATATTTCAGCCTTCATCGATCAATCGGAGCAGTCCCTGAGATGAAACCCATTAATGCACATGACATTGCGCTGGCAGAATGAAGCTGAATTGCCATGTACTTTTATCTGCCAAAGTCAGCTATTCTTACCACTCTAAACACAAACTCAGTGTTATGCCAAAAATCTTGGCCGATGAACTACGGAGCGTGCGTCTCAACATTGTACCTCAACTTTCATCAATTGTGGCGATTTGAAAATCGAGAGGGAAATGTAGAAAATCTTTGCATTTGGGCAGAGTCCGTACAAGAACTTTGTAGTCGTGTCATAGTTCAATGCTGATTAAGCACCACACGCACATTTCTCTCGAACTTCATCTATCTTCCATCCAAGTTAGAATACAACCTGTGTAGGTTCGCCCGGGGATTGCTATAAATATTGATTCGATAATCAATTGAGCTTATGACACGCTTGCCTCTTCTCGCACATTGCTGTGACCATAACCCACTCTCACCTCTTCTATCTACACACTAGTGAGGACGTGTACAAAGATTCATGAGAAAGAACAGTGAGATGCGAGGCACGAATTAGCTGCCTATGTGAAATCCTGCGAATCCTACAACTGACACTAGTATAGAGTCTAGACAGTCTTGCCAATAGTATTGAGGGCTTTTATTTCTTCCGAGACTTTCGTGTCGTTTAGGCGAATGAAGGATTCCCGATTGTCAAAGAATGGATTCATCAATATAAGAGTGGAAAGAGTGGAAAGAGTGGTAATTGTTTACCCCGCACTGGTCATTTTTCAGTGAGATCGTTCGTTGTAACATTGGATGGCTCGGGTAAGCCATCATAGCTCCGTTGACGGATCTTTCGTCTGTCAGATGGCATGTTTGTTTGGCCTTTCTGGAAACTATCTCTTTTGAGAAGACGCTGCCATGTAATCTTGAGAATTTGATCTCTTAATTCGCCATGACTACGGCTGTGGATATCGAAATCCTCTATATAAAGCTTCGTTGATTGGCGAAGGTATTGCAGATGTATGCTCTCACTTGCCAACGCTCTCCTCTACGATTAGAAGCAAAATGAACATATTACCAACAGTCCAATCAATACCGTAAGTACGAATCTCTCAGCAATTCGACGGTATTAAGGGTAATATGTCGACGGATTTAGCATCAAAATCCACCAATCGTTACAATGAGTGGTTTACAAAGTTAGGTTAGCAACTACAAAACAAATACACGGTAGGCCCACCATAGCACATCGGCTCATTGACTGTTGTATTCTTACATATATCACCACCGTCTCCTACCTGTTTACTCATAAGCGCACGATATCAAAATAATCTCCCATTGAAGCACACCTTTGTTCTGGATATCTTCAAACATTTCTAGGAAGATCAACTCAACATGTCTTCACACGCCCCAAAATTTGATAACAAATGTTACATTACCACCAATTCTCCTGATGGGAAAATCACCACCTTTGTTGATTCCACCTCATTTGTAACGAAGTCGACACATCCCGGGTTGACATCAATGTACGCCTATTCTGCAGCCTCTACACCCTCACTCACCGATGACACCGACCTAAAAGCACATCAAGAAATCACCAAGCAAGAGAAAATAGTCACCTTTCCTTCAGCTGGTGGTAGCGCAGCTGCGTTTTTGCACTTCGATCCTAATCCTAATGGAACCGAGGGGTTTATGCATCGTACACGTACGCTTGATTATGTACATGTAGCGGAGGGAGAAGTGGAGTACTCGGTGAACAGCGGGGAGAAGAAGATTTTCAAAAAGGGAGATGTGGTTATTCAACGGGCGGGATGGCATGCATGGAAAAACGTGAGCAAGACTGAAGGGGTTACTCTTTTTGCTGTTGCAATTGGCGCTGAGGGTGCGACGGAAGGTTTCATGGAGTTTCCAAGTGCGTAGGATGACTTTGGATTGGATAGGGCGACAGACACCTGGTTTGATTCGTTTCTGTGGAAATTTGAAAGGGGGTGGATTTGGTTCTATGTAAGCTACATGCTATTGTTGTGGCGGGGTACTCTCCGACGTGTCAGTATCAGAATGAGAACATGGACTTCGCTTCAAAGTGGTGGGATGTGGTGGTAAGATTACAACACTTGCTAGAGCATGAGTTACTTGAAGAGGTATGAACCGGGCGGAAATGTAATGGCATCAGTCTCTCAATTGCTTTCGAAATATCGAACTTAACGAAGTGACAACCCGCCTTGCAAGTAGCTTGAACAAAGTAATAAAGTATAGAGACAAATGGAAAGAAATCATTGTGTAGGATTGTTTTCATTTGGTGGTGATTTCTGATCAATTGGACCAAATTGATGGTAGTACCCTTACGTCATCGCTCTCCTATCTGCACCAATCAAATCCCATATCACGTGGCTAAATGACCAAACTTTCGTTTTGTTGCACGTCTGAAAAATTGTTCATTTTCTAACTTTACACCACTAGTTTTTGGGACAAATTTACTAAAAATTACATCGACCGGGAATAAGAGCACTTTCCTGGACCTTATTTCCGGTCGTGTCAAATCGTACTTTTTTATATGCTGGCTGAATAGTGGTGGTGTCTCATAAACTCACCGAGCCAGTCTCGATACTTATCAGGTCTGCCCCTCATTTTCACCACAACACAACATCTACCGCCAAACCCCCCCCCCCCCAGATCAAGATGGAGAGCTTCGAAGATATGCAAAGTCGGCATCGTAAAGAACAAAAAGATTTGCAAGGACGTATAACACAAAAGAAGAAAGGCGCATCGAAGAAGACTCGCAAAGGTGTGAACAACGAATGTGAGGAACTGGAACGACAACTGAAGGAACGGCAAGCTCAAGAGATAGCATCCTTGGATGGGGATGCTGTTCCCGATATCGATGATGTTCCAGAACTTGACGAGGAAGCTTCAGAAGCTTCTGCCAATGCGACTGACGTAAATGGTGTCAACAATATTACCGACTCTTTGGAGAAATCCTCAATTACGGAACCAGTACAATCTGAGTCAGGACAGCCTAAAAAACGCAATCGACAAAAAGAAAGGCTTGCCCGAAGAGCAGCAGAACAAGAAGCTGCTATAGAGGAAGCCAAGAAAGAAGCCGCGAATATGCCTGATGAGAAAGAAGTAGAAAGAAAACGAATGCAGGAGGAATTCACTTCAAGAAGCTTACAGGAGAAACAAATTAGACCAGATGGACATTGCCTTTTCTCTGCCATAGCCGATCAATTATCACAAGCTGGAATACCTCTTGGTGCCGAAGCAGAAGGATTGAAGGATGATCAGCGCTACAAAGTGGTCCGCAAAGCAGCCGCAACATACATCGAAGGACATCCAGATGATTTTGTTCCATTCTTAGACGAACCTCTCGAGAATTATGTGCACAAGATTAGAGATACTGCTGAATGGGGTGGTCATCTGGAGCTTCTTGCGCTCGCAAAGACATACAACGTCGAGATTTGCGTGTTACAAAATGGAACTGCCCAGAAGATTGAGCCTGGAACAGACAAACCCGAGACGATTCATCTAGCATACTATCGACATGGATTCGGATTGGGCGAACATTATAACTCTCTTCGAAGAGCACCATAAAAACATCATAACTAAGGAGCACTTGAGTTCTTATTCTAATTATAGGCGGGACTCTATTTAGTGCGACCAAACACTGACCCAATCATTTATCTTGCCATCTGCATCATATCCACCCCTGTTGGTTCTTTTGGGGTGAAAGTGTGCAATACGTCGAAGGCCATTCTTGTGTGGTAGGCCAAGTTTCCCAACTTCTAACTCATAGTCCTCCTCATTATATGGCAATACTTCCCCTGGACGAGACAAATGACCTTCATAAATTCTTGGAGGCATAGCCCATGGCGGTCCACCAATTGATGGAGATTTAGTAGTGGGAAATTCAAGACAGATGAGTCTTCCTTCGGGAGATAGAAGCTCATAATACCGTTTAGACCATGCAGGCCTTAAACTAGGAGGTAATGCACAACCAAACTTTCTCAAGATTTAGTATTCTGGACAATAATAAACTCAGAGAATTACATACCGTGTAATCATAGATCAAATCAAAGTTTTTCTCTCCATTGATGACTGACAAGAAATCATCTTTGAAGAAGTCTCCGGCTATCCACGTAACATTTCCTTTCTCGATTCCGTCTTTTGGTTCATACAGTCCTTTCCCATCTTTCTCCTTTTCGGTGACTCTAGCACCCTGCAAACCAGTCTCGGAAATATCCAGCCCATAAGCATCATAGCCCATAGCACTCAATAGCAAAACGTCATATCCCTTTCCACATCCTGCTACTAAGGCTTTCTTTCTTGAGCCATCAGCTTTCTTCGAAGCTAGATCTTCCCGTTCATTGAGGATATCAATCAGTGCTGGATTAGGTGAATCATTGTCCCATGGAGTCACTTTGTTTTTCCAAAGCTGATCCCATTTCTCGCCATGGTGAGCTGGGTCTTGACCTTCGAATTGGGCCTTAAGAAGAGCACGCGTTTCTGATTGTTCAGTACCATTTCATTTTCTGTTATATGAAAGTTCGGCTTACCGGACAAACTGAGTTCTGATGTCATGTTTATTGCTCTTTCTTTCAATCTTTTTCTTTATTGAATTTCAATGATATCGTCTTATGTAAGTCTCTTTAACAGAAAACTACGACGTGCAGTGAATAAGTTTTCCGCTCGATCAGATGTTTACATCAAGAAAAAACAATGACGAGAGCACAGACCTTGAGAGCTTGTATAGCTGGACCTCGGGAGCCTTTGGTGGGGGCATTTGTGGCTATTGTGGCGCTAATAAGTAAGCAAAGGTTAGGTACCCCTGGTCCTAAATCGAGCCGAGGCTCAGGCAACCCCCGGATAATTGATATGGTACCTTCGATCTACTTCATCATCAACCTCGAATTATTTCATACCTTATTCTTTCACATAACAACATTTCAAAGGAATTCAATAATCATGGATGCCGCAAACCTCTTCAACGTCAAGGTAATCAATCAAGCTCTCCCTTCAGTAATCCATAAACTCACAAAATAAATAGGACAAAGTCGTTCTTGTTACCGGCGGCGCAAAGGGAATCGGACGAATGATATCCGAAGGCTTCGTCACAAATGGAGCCAAAGTCTACATCTCATCCCGCGATGTTAAAGCCTGCGAAGAAGCCTGCAACGAATTGAATGCGTTAGGTACGTCAATATCTCCCAATTGATGCGACACGACCAAGCTAATTCTCTTTTCGTACAGGCAAAGGTTCCGCACACGCCATCCCAGCCGACTTTTACAAACTCGAAGATTGCAAACGCATGGTCGATGAATTACAAAAGAAAGAATCGAAATTACACATTTTGGTCAATAACTCGGGAAGCAATTGGAGAGCTCCTTATGCGGAATTCCCAGATGCAGCGTGGACGAGAGTGTTGACTCTTAATCTCACAAGAGTCTTTACTCTTACCCAAGCTCTCACTCCTCTTATGGAAGCAGCTTCTACCCCTGAAGATCCAGCACGCATCATCAATATCGGTTCCGTAGACGGAATCCGCGTCCCATCTCTCGAAACTTTTTCATACTCGGCAAGTAAAGCAGGATTACATCAATTAAGCCGAGTTCTTGCGAATCATTTGGGAAAGAGAAATATCACGAGTAATGTACTTGCATGTGGACCATTCGAAAGTAAAATGATGGCAGCTACGCTCAAGAATTCTAAAGACGAGATTGTAAGTGGGATTCCGTTGGGGAGAATTGGGAGTAAGGAGGATGTTGCGGGTGCTTGTTTGTTCTTGGCTAGCAAGGCGGGAAGTTATGTTAATGGAGCGACGATCCCGCTGGATGGAGGGAGTTTGGTGGGGAGTAAGTTGTGATTTTTGTGCGGGTGGGGGGGATTTATCATTGTACATTTATTATCTTGGAAGTATAATACGCTATATTAGAAATGTAAGCATATTTTTGTCTATTGGAAGGGATACAATATCGCGTGTTTTCGTACAATGTAATGGGTTGAAATTTTGAGTATCAATATTGGACAGAGTCAAATTCTAAACAATGCAGATATACAAAACAAAGGTCTCTATTGTTCGAGTAAATGAGAAGATCCTACCCCGCTAGTTCCATGTCTCAAAAACAAGTCAAGACTACCAGATAGATCTCTATTCGCTACCCACCAACCCTTATGAACGCATCCATCATCTCTCTCTCTCGTTTCTCCCTTGAGCTATTCCACATCTACATATTCGAAATGCATACCGCTGGGTTGATATCCGCACCTGATCGCTATCTTGAGATGGTTAAAATAGCATAATATGAGGAGACACTTTTCACTGCGGATATCCATTACCATTCTAAAATCTCTGAATATCGAATAGAAAGTCTCGAACCAAAGAACTCTGATTGAATACTGGCTCGGGAATTTGTTGATATATACTATGTTCTGTTTGAGTGTTGAGTAGAAAGTAACAAATACATCGGAAACGAGGAGATTGATTGATTGGCTTGGTCTTTTCTGGGAATAAGTATGTACGGTACGGTATAGGTAGGTGTAATCTCTGGGTTGTCTGCTAGAGGGTATTGGATGGCATGTGGGTTGGGGTATAGTTTTTCTTTTCCTTTGCGCGGCTTATTCTTGGTTCGTGACATTGGGTACCTATCTAGCTTGTAGATGGGATAGTGATGCGGTGGTGTTAGGAGAGTTTGAAGTTTGATTTTGTAGTCATATTGACTTCGTTTGCTAGGAACTCTTTTTGAGATCTATTGACTCTACTAAGTGAACAAAGTGATTCTTAGAAGTTACACTAAGCAATCTTCTTCTTGTGCTTCAAATCCTTCAAATCATCATGTGTGGATACAATGATGCGAGAACTTTTGATTTCCAGTCTAGAAAGCAGTTCCGTATAAGCACGAGCAAAATTAGACGATGTCATTGCTCCTGTCTGAGCCGCTGATGAATCAACTTCAACTCGACAATTAAGGTACATTTCGTTGAAGCGAACGGTCGTATCAGTATTGTCACGGCAGGCTACGTTTGCCATCGAGAAAAGGGGACCTTGTAAGAGAGCGGGTGCTGCGCGAACTGCGATATCACCCTGTACTCCGGTGCAGAGTGTAAAGCTAGTTGCTTTCTCTTGCTCTAGTAGATATGGGATGGTTGCACGGTAAGCGACTTTGGAAGTTAGCGGCCATATTGATGTTGCTGCTACAACTATAGAGATCTTACAAAAGTTTGATTCAAAGTTGACACTCAAGATTTGACGCAATTCTTTGAGGCTTAGTTCAGTCAATGACGTTGCACCGTATGCACCTCCAGCTTCATTGACAGTTATTAAAGGACAAACCCAAGCATATTATGATCTTACCAGCAGAGTAAACATGCTGAAAACTTGGCAGTTTCCCATCGCGAACTTCATTCACCACGGTATGTACTCCTCCTTCTGAGATGATGTCGGCCTCGACAGTTGTGATGCCATTCTTTGTTTCCAAATGTTTAAATAAGTCAACTACCCCACTTTCCGACCACCCCCTCTTTTCGACCACCTCAAAAACCACACCGCTTTGAGTAATTATAAAATTTATACTTTGAATAACTCAACAATGCTTTAATCAATTGATTTGAAATTTTGATATTATTATAATTGTGATATGAAGAATAGATATACCGAAGAAGATATCGCAGAGGCTCTTAGAGCGATTACAAATGGAGCAAGCATACGAAGAGCTAGCTTGGATTATGGTGTTCCACGTATCACACTTCACGATCGAATATATGGTGGAGTTTCGCATCAAAAAGGCGCCCAAATACTTCAAAAGTTATCTCCAATTCAGGAGAATCGACTAGCAGAATGGATATTAGTACAGGAAGCTCTTGGTACTAGCCCTACACATCGTCAAATCAGAGAGATGGCAGAGCACCTCCTTATTGTACGAGGGGAGGATCCCTCACTTGGAAAGAAATGGATACATAGCTTTTTTCGAAGGCATCCTAATATTGGAACTAAGAAGCAACATCAAATCGATTCTGCACGAGTTTCAGGTGCTACATCTGATATTATTAAGAAGTGGTTCCGGAACCTCGCAATCCCTGAAATCAAGGCTATTAAGCCGGCCAACAGATAGAATATGGATGAAGCAGGTATAATGGAGGGTCAGGGTCTTAACGGACTAGTAGTAGGAAGCACTGATCGAAGATTTATTCAAAAAAAGCAACCTGGATCTCGAATTTGGACCTCTTTTATAGAATGCATTTCAGCCAATGGAAAAAGCATTACTCCCCTTGTAATATATAAGGGAAAATCAGTTCAACAACAATGGTTTCCAACAGATTTGACTCTATTCAAGGGTTGGAACTTTACCGCTACAGAAAATGGATGGACTACAGATGCTACAGCTTTAGAATGGCTGAAAAAGATCTATATCCCTCAAACTACCCCTATTCAGCCGGAAAATTCAAGACTCCTCATTTTGGACGGACACGGAAGCCATGAAACTACAGCATTTATGTTAGAATGCTTTAATAACAACATATATCTCTTATTTCTCCCACCACATACGTCACACGTACTACAACCACTCGATTTATCTGTGTTCTCACCCCTAAAAAGTGCATATCGAATCGAACTTAATAAATTAAGTCTATTATCCGATTCCTCACCAATTGGAAAGCGCAATTTCCTTTCTTGCTATCAGAAGGCTAGAATAGAAGGTTTAACTATTCAAAATATCAAGTCTGGGTGGCAAGCTAGTGGTCTTTGGCCCAAAAATATGGCTAAACCTCTTATGAGTCGACTTTTGCTTGAAAATAGCAATAGAGAGGTTTTATCACTTAATCCTGAATCTGATGATGATCCTATTCTTCAATGGAATATATATTCATCGTTTATTCAATGGAAAACCCCTCAAAAAGGAGCCGATATCAGAAAATATAGAGATATAATGATTCAAGAGAAGGAGATCGATTTGCCAACACGAAGATTACTATTTCGCAAGATTATAAAAGGATTCGATGCTAAGGATTATGAACTCTTAGAGGCAGAGAATAAGATTAGAAAGCTAGAATATCAATTAGATGAAGCATTACCTAGAAAAAGGCGAAAGGTTGTGGTATCTCCAAATTCGAAGTTCGCAGGGATTAGAGCTATAAGGCGTACACAAATTGAAGCTGGAGATCGTGAAGATGAGGTAGATGATAGCTCTAGTGCTATAGAAAGTGATTCTACAGGCGATTTCATTGAAGTTCAATAGTTATTGAGTTATTAAAGTTTTAAGTGTAGATAATATGAATTTTTTAGGTGGTCGGAAACAGGGGGTGGTCGGAAAGTGGGGTAGTTGACTTAATTTGTCCGCAGAGGCCTAGTTCCTCAGTATTGCAAGTACATGACGCTTAGATTGCAGCGCTCCAAGTACTGCTACGACACCGATGTTGCCAGTGGCTCTGATAACAAGAACGTTTTCCATATTTTGAACTAATGAATACGTTATTGCAGGAAGTTTGAGAACTTGACGGGATGAATATTTGGAGATGTTGTGTTATGATGAGTTAGGGTAACTTTTACAAACTGCTGAAGAATGCTTCTTATATCAAAAAAGCACATTACCCCTGGTAATCTTGGGCTAAACTCAAAGACCGAGACGGAGGGACTCGAAGGCGAAGGATGATCTTCCGAATGAAGATTGGATAACGTCGGAATAGCTTCCGAGCTCGAGCCGACGACATCATCGGAGCTTCCGAGATTAAAATATCTCTCAACGGAAAGGCCTCCAAGTTTCGTAAGCTGCAAACTTATCGGTGCTTTGGCTCTGCGGCGTAGAGTTATCCCGTCCCCGCCGAGACCTTTAACTCTGAGGATCCATTAATGTGCGGACATATAAAATAAGTTTTACTTCTCTGGCCCCTTGAACTCGCTCTATCTACGCCTTTTTTTCAGTCTTCGTCACTCGCAAAAAAAATCGATGAACAATTTGGATGTTCATTAGACATCTACCAATATCGTCTCAATCCTACAACTTCGACTAGAAACATTATTTCAACAATACATACTCGTTCGGTGTTGTGTACAAGAAAATGGTGGCAGATGAAGAGAAGGTGGAGGCCAACCGGGCAGTCACTCAAGAGACTCAAGACACAAGAAGCACAGCTACTCAAGATGTAGATTCAAACAAAGAGTTTGAATCTCTGAATGAGTCCACCAGTTCAAATCCTGTACGTCAAGAAATTGTCCTGAGCGAAGGATTTAACACGGCATTAGAGCATGCCCCTACGCCCATGGCAGTACCACGATCAAAATGACGAGGACTATTTAGGCTATTGACCATTGTATCAGAAGTCGAAAATCCACCAAGCTACAAAAATAGTACCAAATGGTTGATAACATTCATTGTTGCGGTGGTAGGTGCTGCAGCACCGCTGAGGAGTGCTATATTCTTTCGTGAGTCCTCATTTCTTTCCTATCGCTCCATTGTCAAGATTTGTGCTGATACAAGTGCTAACCCTCCACACAGCTGCAATCATTGAATTATCGGAAGACTTTCCATGCTTCTAAAACTCTCACCAATCTCGCCGTGGCTATGTATCTTTTAGCCATGTCGATATTTCCACTCTGGTGGTCCGCTTTTTCGGAGATATTTGGTCGTCGGACAATGTACTTGATGTATTTCGCGTTTTTCACGTTATGGAGTGCTATCGCAGCAATATCCACTTCCATGGCAATGCTGATCGTAATGATAGTGTTGGGAGGTGGTGCAGCTACCTCTGTTTTGGCTATGGGTGCAGGAACCATTGCGGATATTTGGGAATCAAAGGAGCGTGGACGTGTGATGGGGATATTCTTCCTTGGTCCTATGTTGGGACCGCTTCTAGCTCTAATTATTGGTGGAGCAGTAGCAGAGAAATGGGGCTGGCGAAGTACCTAATGGTTCTAGACTATATTCGGAGGAGTATTGTTGATTCTGTTGTTATTCTGCCTCCTAGAGACACTCGCAAGACGAGCCCCAGTCGTCGAGGAACTCCTGATGGGAACATGCCATCTCATTAACCCAAGTCTCCTCTGCCAACTTCAAAATCCCTGCAACGAACAATGAAAAAGGTGGTAGTCAGTTTAAAAAAAGTTCATGATTGATCCACTAAAGATATTGGGCTATCTTCGATTTCCAGCCGTTTCAGTCACAGTCTACATCGGCAGCATAACTTTTGGATCCTTATACATATTGAACATTGCCATACAGAAGACATTCGGAGAAGAGCCATACAATATCTTCGGGGTAGTAGTCGGGCTGACATATATCCCAGGCTCAGTAGGCTACATTGTTGCAGGCTTTGTGGGAGGAACATGGTCGGATGCTATCATGCATCGAGAAGCTCGTGCTGCAGGTCGATTGATGAATCTGGAAAACTTATTCTGCGACCAGAAGATCGCATGAGAGAAAATGTTTTGCTTGCTGCTGCTATTAATCCTGCTGGCCTTTTATGGTTTGGATGGACTGCAGAGAAGGGAGTTCATTGGATTGTCCCTTTGATTGCGAATTTCTTCTTTGGGTTTGGAACTATGATTATTTATTCCACTGTAACTACTATGTCAGTATCCTCCTTCATGAATCATGACATCAATAAGCCATTGCGAGATTCCTTAACTAATCCACAAATAGGCTCACAGAGTTTCTCCCTAAGCGAAGTTCAAGTGGTGTAGCAGTGAGCACATTTGTGCGGACAATTTTCAGCTGTGTTGGATCAGTAATTGCGCAACCTTTGCTACAAGCTATTGGAGATGGATGGTTATTTACGATACTAGCCACTGTTGGATGGATCAGTGCTTTCTCAGTTGTTTGGGCTATGAAAATAATTGGGCTTAGATGGCAGGTTGAGATGAGGAAGAAGTTGACTTTATTTCCCAAGGCTGGCGCCGATAGCCCCACCCGTTAATGCGATGACCTAAACCCAAGCTAAGCTCCTACTCAATTTAGCTCAAGCAAAGGCTAAAAAATCAAACTTAGTTAATTTTATTTTCATTTGCTTCGCACGTGGAAACTTCATGCTATCTTTTTATATTGCCATTTTCTAAATTCCTAAAGTGTATCTGCTGTCGCTTCCATCGAATAAATCCCGAGACTGCCTACCCAACTACAGTAACGAGAAATCCATAAGCGAATCCAAGTGAAACTACCATCACCAGTCCACTATATACCTATGCCTAATCACACCAACTCGCTCATCAAATCAATAAGATGTCCCCTCCCGCAAGCACAAAGACTAATCTACAGGAAAAAGTAAGTTCAAAAGTAAAGGTAGCCAGAAGTCTCATCTCTCGTCTATATCGCCGTTTGCTTTCCATCTTGGTTATCGTTTTTGCTGTCGAAGTTTCGATCTATGGCTATCACCTTGTAGTATTCTCAGTGAAGCCCAACGCTGTCGATCTTGATCTCTCAACTAGTAATGCATTCCTCCACGAATTTCATCAACTGCCTATATTCGTGCCATAGAGAAGTTTTCTTCGTCGCATAAACCTTAGAAGTTAGAAATATCGTGACGCACCTACCATGCCGAACCTTGAGCGTTCGTTATTGATTTTTTTTTAGCTACACTTAGAAGCAAGTCCCTCCAGGAGTCATCTTATAAACGACAATTCATTTCCATTGTACGCTAAATCAAGATCCTTCACTATAACCTTTAATCTCTCGGATATGTATATACTCCACATTGTATCTTAGCAATCGGGAGTCAAGCTCCATATTCCGAGAAGGGATATGAATCCACCTTTCTGATTTTCTTTTCGCTTCAAATAAGATTAAGATTTGTCAAGACATCACGTTCAAAATGTTAGTCGTATGTTTCAAACGATTTGATATTCGGGAATACCGAGAAGCTATCTTCGTTGTAATCTTCCACAATCTATATCTAATATCACATCCTCCCATTCACTTCCTAAACCGCGTCTGCTTGAAGTATTCGAATGATATGTTTTCTTAGCTGACAAACCATTCCATCTTTCTCCAAGCATCCCATCGAACTATCGTTATAATGCTACGATATATTCCTGAACTCTTTTATAGAGATTTGTAGGCTGGAAAGATAGTAAAGGTGTTTGATCTGTAGAAAAAGTATTGTAGGAGTATGTGAAAAAAAAAATTATTGCACGAACACAACATCAAACAACAAATACCGTCTCAAAATTCCACTTAAGGGCGAGGAATTTGATATGAGAGACTTATTAATACTCCGGTCTATCATCATACGATCTCAATATAAACCCAACATGCCTTCACAACCTCCGCTCCTATTTTTGAAAAAAAGGAAGTTAAGAGAATTATTATTGTCGTCTAATTTGTTGTTGTTATAGAATATTCGTCATTCTCACCGTCGCTTTGTAGTCAGTTCAGTCTCGAGATTGTAATTATAATATGTGTGCCAAATTCGAACCGTCTATTTCCAATGCAAACGGGCATCCATTACAAGTTCACCAAATCATAATGTAGATAAATACCCACGAGCACCCAAGCACCTTGATCGTCATACCTCTGGACCTCTAATCAAATAATCAGAAAGAGGTTTACAAACGAAGTAAATTTATAGGTGAGAATCGGTTCTTTTTCATGTGCTCGTGTATGCATGCGACTCCATCTCTCAGAACATGCGACTTCGATGCATCTTTGTGGTTAATTACGAGGGGAAAAATCTGTTAATTTGTTGTATTTTGGCAGGTGAAGATATATAAGTACCCGAGCCACTGATAAGTTTTGATCTGTAGAAGACAGAATCTCGTGTCCTATACATCCGCATTAAGGTTTAGGTAACTAGATGAAACGGGAAGTTTAGGAAGTAGATTCGTAAATGTGTGCGGAGGATGGGAGTTTGTTTGGCCAGAGACTTTCGATGCGCCCGTTGTTGCTGCTATGGTATTTTGTCGTCAATGTATTGATTGACCATGCATATACATCTATTGTCGTCATAACACACATCTCTCGACAGCAAAAAGTACGTTCCTTAACATGCCGATTCAATGAGTATGTGATAAGTATCCATATTTTTATTTTATACCTTCACTCCTACAGAAAGAAGGGTTTGTGTAGTTGAGGATAATCCACCTAAGAACTTTGTAAGCGTCTAAGTATCATCTTGAGATTCTGGAAGAGATGTGTTAGAGAATGAATAGAGTGCTTTTATAGACGTTTTTGAGAATTCATTTGTCACTAAAGTGTATGTATCGAAACGAAACAGATATCCATGATCCAGATATTGAACCCGCATTCCTCTCCAATCTATCCCGCTCATAGCCACCGCGTCATCCTCGCAATATATAAACTCCTCATCTTGTAGAAACTTCAATCTTACGAAAACAAGCCATCAGACATACATTGTTCTACAGGCGACTAATCACTGATCAATATCTTCAATCCCCCGTGCGTGCGAACCTTGACGAATATCCATACAACCACAGCCCCAATGTTTGCGTTTCCATCTCGATTTACTTCCTTCACATATACTACCAATCAATCAATCAACTTCCAAATTCTCGTCATGAAACCTAAATCTCAAAGTAATCGACAACAAAAGTCTATTCACAACAGAAAGAAAAAGAAGACAAGTGAATCATGAGAATAAGATCAAAGCTGTCTCATAATCTTCCCACTGCCTTTCAAGTTCGTAAAGACGACGTGACGCTACCACAGAATCGAAACAACGGCCTGATTACCATTTCTCTCTGGTTTACGTCCTGCATGTCGAACATTAGATCGAAGTTGGTCCTTGATTCTTGTGGTTAAGTAAATGGCTAGCTTCTACATCTGATTTGTACGTTGATACCTAGCCATAGGTAGAGCAATTTTTTCTTTGAATCGATCCATGTACCTTTCGAAGCTAAGGAAATCCACTAGGATATTTGGGGCTCCGGGAAGAGTATTTAATGGGGCGCTTTTGTTCTTTGATGTAAGAGTGAAATATTGTGTAGGGGAGCTTGATACAGAATTGCAGGAGTTTTGGTGGTCACGTACGTTACATGTATCGGTCGATCAATTGCTTGATCATTATAGCTTCAGATAAGCGTTGATTCTATGGGCTATGAATTTGGGATAGAGATGGTTGTTGTTACAATACTTATTGATTATTGTCATTCTCGAAATCATTCCTTGCATTGCCATCTTTGTTGCGCACACGCGTTACAACACCCCTTCTCTGAGAGGAACCAAAAAGCTAGTGCGAATACAAGATAATATCAATATGCCATTTTTTAAGAGAGGCACAAAACCTTCATGATTTCAATTGGGTAGCAGACTTTGTTACTATTTGAATGATATGTAGTCTTCTTTATATAAGAATATTGGGAATCTAAGTATCTAGAGTGTGTCCCCTATCAAGTTCCTACCCAATCCCGGGACTTCAATGCTCGATATCTGATATCAGATTACAGTATAAAGAGACACAGAGAGAGTATCGAAAGTAAAATAACCATAGATGGGCGAGCTTGAACTCGTTTCAGGGGTGCGGCTTTCACAATTGTGAGAATATGAGAGTATGCAGATTCTGCTATTATGTGGATAGAAGCTTTGAGTCTCGGATATCTGATTTTTTGAACTTTAGGGAGATTCGATGATGATAAATATGAGTATATCTATTCACCACGACTATTCATTCATTCATTCATTCACCTAGCTATAAATCTAAACACAGACATAAACATAAACAAACAATCACACCCCTTTCTCATTTCATCAACCACTCCCAAGATCCCACCATTGAGTAGGTACCTAGCTATTCATCCCAACTTTCCCCTCCTAAACTCGAACACTGACCTACCTACCTAACCACAATAAACTCGAGATACCGGTATCCCTCTCTACCTCAAAACTGTACAAATTGCAAGAGAAAAGGCTCGATCGACCAAAAAACAAAGTTTCGAGATGATGTCATGTAATTTAAGTAACTTATTCTCCGAGGAAATTAGATGATACAATAGCAGTGCGGTACATGGGATGGGATGAGATGAGATGAGATGAGATGCGAACTCCATCAATAAAAATCACGGTAGTGCGGGGTAACGAGGTAGAGATCTATGATGAGTGGATGAATGGGAAGAAGGGAGGAGAGAAAGAAGGTGGGAATAGCTTCGTGGGATTATTGAGTATGCGGGTTTGTGTGTAGGTTGAGTGTGTGATTTTATTGATGATAGGTTGATACGTTGGTATTGAGTGATGAAAACGAATGAACCCCTCAAAATACAATTATTGTGCATCACATCCCAGCCACGAAATCCATTGTGACCTCCTTTTATATACCTACCTACTACTTATTACTATCAAATATCTACAATGTAAAACATTGCGGTATAACTTCAATAGCTTATAAAAATCGCATCTCTTAGTCTAAAACCTGTATATAAGTATTCTATGGATAACTAACATAACCAAACTCCCAAGTGCAGTCAAAATATTCCCAGCCATTTCATTCATCACAACTCCCTGTCAAATAAACCTCGTTGTCACAGAAACCAGATTTTTACTTCTGTCCTTCATTCGAGCTAAATTCTAACTTTCTCGACATCCTATCCTGATTCCTGACATTGACAAGTGATGTGTGAACGAACAGACACTTATCAGCCGCTATGATTAGAGATCAAACGCTCCCATCCTTTCAACGGTCAACGGTCCGTCATCCATGTCCGATTGACACAATTGATTGCTGACCAATGAGATGGGGGACGTTTGGATTCGGATGATGTGGAATTATGAATTATGAATTATTTTGTGTGGGATACTGTACTAAGAAGGAGGAGGGAGATGGGTAGGAGCTAGATCAGAAGCATGTGCCTTGGAATAATGTCGATGGCTGTGATGGAAATTTTGGGGGTTGGGAATACAACCGTGCTACTTTGGATGGTTGGGTTGTACGGAGTAGTACTTGATTGTAGATGGTACGAATTAGAATCAACGAGTGAGAGAGGAATAGATGTGAATGTAATGATTATGAGAAAGGAAAGTATGTACGTACAAGGTCACACAGAGAGGAGGAGAAATGGTTGGGTAGATAGTGATAACTAACTAGTCTGTATATGATGGATATATTTATTGGTTGTGCCCCTTATATTTTTATGGTCGCTTGGGGTAATAACATTTGTTAAGGTTAGATAGGTAGTAATTATCAAGTAGGTAATGAAGCTCAGTTGATGTTTTTGTACTTCCTCGGATTCTTGCATGGGACGAATGCTGACTTGACTGGATTGAACTGGGAGATGAGAGGTCAGGTAGGGAAGTACTGGGTGTATGTGTGTATGGATTATATGGAGGTGGCGAGAGAGCCTTGTCACAAGCCGCTATATAATACTTGTGAGGGAGGTAATTGATGTTGTGATAGTGTTGTGATACTTGTGTGATAGCATTTGGAGATTTGCATTTGGGGGTTTAGGTTAGTGTAAGGGATTGAAGGGATTGAAGGGATTGAAGGGAAGGTTATGGTTTGATGGGATTAGCTAGTAATGTCTACTAATAAATAGAGACGGAAGTATAAAATGACAATCAGAGAAGCTTCCGTCTGCTTCAACACGAGCCAAATGATATTGACATTGCTTTGGGCACCGTTTCTCACGGGTTTGGGTTGAGGCAGTTTCGGAAGTATTATTATTAAGTATAAGTTAATAAATAACTATTGTGATGGTGATTATTTTGATTCAATACCCAATTAATTATATCTATTCATCCCATTACTACCTACAAAGTAGACAATTGATAAGAACCTTCTTCCCGTCAAAAATGTCAAAGCTCTATCTATCAAAAAAATTATACCTACCTAGAATGCTAGATAGATCCATAGATAATTAGCTTCGATACCCCTTCAAGAGAGAGAAGAGAAAGGCGGTAACCTCATAATAGTTGGAATATTAAAAATCATCATGGACTCGTGAACTTTGAACTTTGGTAACTCTTGTAACTACCTACGAAGTACACCTTACCCTACCTATCACAATTCACCATCGATCTCTACCTCTCCTTCTTCTCACTGCCTCCAATTCTAATAGTAATAGGTACTCGGTCGCAATCGCAATCAAAATATCTCGTACACACCATCATCATCTCATCTATCCTTGGCCTTGTGTTTGAATCATATCATCCTAGGATCCTTACTACCTATCTCATACCTACTGTGGCCTGGTCTTCTTAACATACCTACGACCTATCTCTCCATCGTCAGCTTCTACCACACTACACACAAGGTACTATCCCATCTATCACATCAATTCACAGTAAACATCCCGAGAGAATTGATCGATCATCCAAAGTACAGAGTACGACGGTAACAGCGTCAACATTCAATTGGTTCATAGAAATCCTTCACCCCCAAATTTAATCTCTTCCAGCTAATTTTTGATTGGATCAGAACGTATCAAACAATCCGAGCTGCATAAAACAAAAATCGCCAACGCACAACTTCCCTTCCATCCAGCCTATTTCGAAAAGATCAACCCCAATTATCTCCATAATAATAGAGCTTCACATCAACTCGCAATTATCCTCGGTGCCTGGATAATATCCCGCAGAAGGTCGATTGGTTTCTCGGGCGCTTTAATCTTCGCATTCTCTAATTTTTTCCTACGTTTTACCTCTTAATTCGCGTGACAACTGCAGAAGGGAAAAGCCTCAGCTGCATCCTGGGGGGCTGAGGACCAAGCATTCGATACCAGCATTCGAAAGATCAACTCAATTCATCTTTTTTCTCCAATTTTCTTACCGGCATTTCTTGTACATTACACAAACCATTCGATACCCCCCCCCATTCCATATTTACCGCTGATGCATCCCTCCGTTCGTCTATTCGAATTGTGAGGAGTTATCATAATGGGTGTCGATTCGAGAAAATCAAGAGCTCCCCCTCTCCCTGCGCCAACGGAAACAAGTACTGCGGATAGTGACGCCGAGAACGAAAACGAGACGACTGAGCTTGGATCAAGAGTTACGGACAAGAGTACATACACAATCCCTGATGACGGTGCTCCAGTCACCATAGCTACTCGAAAGAAGAAGAAGCACGATAGTTTAAGTAGTTTATCAAACAACAAGTCTCAAACGTCATTGTTGATTGAGTATTTTGAGGGTGGAAAAGAAGATAGAAGTCGAAGGCCATCGGTTCGTGTCAAAGTTACACCATCATCGAAACACCGAAGCAAGTCAGCTCACGACCACATTCAGATTACGGAATCCAGAAAAGGTTCCCGAAGGCCATCATATACCCAGCGTATCTCCTTATCGGATGTCAACAGGGAAACCCACAAATCTGCGCCAGAAGACGAAGCCAGCATGAGTTCCTTTAGATCGATGACTGAAGAATCCAACGTCACTTCCAGGAGTGGTGGTAGACCGATCGAAGTTGAAATAATGAGACATGGAAGTCCGCTGATACCCACAGAGTTAGGATCGAAAAGTGTTTTGTATAATGCTTCAGAAATTTCATCAATGCCTGCCGATAGTTTCCTCGATGGACATACAAGATCTCCGGAGCGAAGACGTAGCCGAAGCTTGACTAGAGAAGAACCTTTGGTTGCCGCTGCGGCTAGCGGCCTGGCTCCTAGTGCTGGATCGGAAAAATCAAGAACGCCATCACGTCGAAGAAGTCGAAGTCTGAGCCGAGAACGAATAGTGGCACAAAAAGCCATGTCAAAGGTTCGAGGTGACAGATCAGAACATCGAAGAAAGCAACGAAGAAGTCGAAGTCGAAGTGTTAGTGGTGAGAAGCTTACAGAAGGGATCAAGTCACCACGAAGAAGATCAAGTCGAAGCCAAGCCGAAGAATCTTTAATGTCCGGAGCCGATTCGGGTCTTCTAGATTCCCAGATTAGTCGCAATTCTGATAGACTTTCCGTTAGATCTGGAGCTTCCAAAAATTCTTCCATCAACAATCCCAAGTTACTAGAGACTGTTGAAGATGCCATCCGTCGTCTGATCTTACCCGAACTATCAGCATTGAAGAGAGAATCAAGTAAGCGTACAGAGCGTCGCAGTTCTGTCGGAAGTGGTATATCCAGCATTTCAGGAGGGCCAAAGGTTACACTTAATGATGGAGAGGTTATCTCGGGGAAGAGCCGAAGAGACCAGGCGAGGGATTCGGACTCACCACGAAGTTTCGAACGGGGCGCATCGGAAGAAACTGTTGTGCATAATGAAAAGGTGAAGAAGAAGAAGAGTCGAGGTCTTGAAACCGCCGCATTGGGCGCTGGGGTGGGTGCCTTGACAGCAGCTGCTTTACAGAAACATCAATCACAAGAATCGGTAATTGATGAAAAGAAAGAACGACGACGCAGGAGAAAAAATCACAGCCGTGGCAACAGCTTAGGGGGCGAGCTTTCACCTACAGAAGAGAGAGATAGTCTTAGTCTGGCGCCTCCTATGCCACTAATGAGCGCGATCAACGCATCCGATATCACCAGAACCTCGATCTTATCAGCAGAGTCTGAAAGGCCTCACTCCGCTAGCTCACAGCGTGTGACTCCTGTTCAAGAGGTGACTGCTCGAAAAGACGTTACTTCGCCAGCTTCTCGAACACCAAATCGAACACCGATTAATCTGCAACACGGCTTGGGTACTCAGCATTCCAACTTCTCCCGTGGAAACCTTAGTCTTCATAGTCAAAATAGTGACCAGCAGTTACGTGGACAGGAATTTGAATTGGATGAAAATGGAAGAAAGGTACCCATGCGGGAATTCTACGACCACGGTCTCGACGATTCAATGGGTTCAGAGGAACACAACGGAGGTCAGTCGAATACAGTTAAAGCTGGTCTTGCTGGTGCTGCCGCGGGCGCTGGTATGGCGGCAATTCATCATCACAACGAACAGGATACCCCTGATGATGAAGATTCAGAACTGCTTGAAGCCGAGCCACAACATCCTTATTACCAAAACACCCAGGAAGTACCTCCTCCACTCAGATACGTTCCTTACGGCCACGAAAGACGTGGGCTGAGTCCAATCCAGAGTGTCTCAGGCTATACCGAAAATGAAGACGGGCCACCTCAAGATCAACGAGACTCCAGGTTGACTCAGAGCACCGCGTCATACTCCTCATTGGCAAAGACTGCTCAGCACAACCAGTCCATGAAGTCACTTGAATCCTCTGAAAATATTCAAAACCGTCATGACTTTTCGGAAGTCCGAACAGGTGGACTGTCTGATTCAGAGCTTACCCAAGATGGAGATGTCCAATACTGGGAAGAACAGCATCAAGAGAATGATCGAAATCGCGATTTTGACTCCGAATTGAGCCTTGAAAACAAGCGAATGACCAACTTTACCGACGACAGCTTTGATGCTCGAGATGTCTCAACTGGTCAGAATATTCAGGGTGTCGGCGGGAAACCAAATTTCGTCAATACACCCATAGGAGTCGAATCGCATGTTGCTTCATTGGTTAATGCTTCTGAAGTCACCGGTACTAATTCATACCCCGGAAGCAGTAGCCAGGTTAATCGCAAGGCTTCATACGATTCTTTTGACGATGAGTCGGAAAGAAACTTCACAAGCCGTGGCGACAGCCCTGCGAAATCACAGAGCCCTACGAAGTATGACAAGGAGTATGATATCGATGAGAATGGAAGAAAGGTTGAGATGTCAAAGGCAAATACCAAGGAGAAGCTGGGAGCTGGCGCGCTGGGAGCTGCAGCTGCAGCACTTTTGGCCAAGGCCCGTGAAAGAATGAACAACAATAATGACGCAGACAATCTCAAGTATGAGGAACGCAAAGAGGACACTGGAGCACCACTACAGAAGTCATTCAAGGATCGTACATCAGACGGACAAAAACTTTCTTCTCCTCGCCACAGTATTGACAACCTGAGCGAAATCAGTCAATTGACTGATCAACCTAAGATGTCTGCAAGTGGTCTTCCAGATATGCATGACCCAATGCCTGAGATTGGTTATGGAGATGATGCATCGGAAGTGACAACAAACCCATCCATCATTCAAGGGCCCATTGGCAGTACTCAACAAGGAAGTCGTGATCACTGGCCAAATCAAGTTACTCCACCACAAGCTAAGCGTACTCAGAGCTCCGACTCTGCATCTGCTCTTCATGAGGCAGAAGCTGCATTGATTGATGCCGCTACTGGCGCAGGAGTTTCTGCTGCTGTGGCTGGCCACAGCAGAGAGGTCAGTGGTGAGCATGAGGATGAGTGGGGAAGAACTTCTGGAGAAAGAAAGCGTGATACTCTCGTTACAAATCCCTATGAAGATACAAGTCCAATTGCTGCTCTTGGTAATGGTACCGGCCTTGATCGCGAGCTTTTGAATCAAGCTGGTTTCCAAAATGCCAGTCGAGCATACAATGACAAGCTCTACGCTGGTAGTCCCAACGGCTTACACAAGGATGAGGGATACATCTCATCCGCTCCCAATGCTCGTTCAGCTGGCGGTCAGACTCCAGAACAGCACGTCAACAAAGGAAAAGGAGTGGACTTCATGGATCATGAATTAGGGAATGCAACAGATGCATTGAACGGTGACCAATTCCATCCTGGCCACTCTCGACATCTTAGTGGTATGTCACAAGGAATGGGATCTCCATTATATGACAGTTCAACTGGTAACGGTATTGATCGCATTCAATCCAAGGATATCGTTGCTTTGATGGATCATCTCACTGTTCGCGATGCTCAACGTAGTGCTCGTGATACAGAAATTCTCGTCACCCTTGTTCGAGCCGCTGCTGAAATGAGAAATTCCTTTGAGGATATGAAGAGATTGCTTGCCGATACTGAAGATGTCATTATCACAGAAGTACAAGGTAATACCGAAAAGTCGGTTCAAAAAGTCATCAATGGGCCACGACCTCTACCTCAAAGTGCACCTCGCTCAATTAGATCCGCCGAGTTGTATGAAGATCTCCCTACGAAGCGAAGAAATGTTTTCCGCAGAGCTTTGAAAGGTCTAAGCAAGAGAAGTACAAATGATCTTGGAAAGATTGAAGATATGCTTGTTCAATTACTTGGTGATGTTGAAGGTCTGAAAGTTGCTCAAGGTCTTCAGAATGGTACTTTGGATTACGATGATTTCCCTGAAGGACGCTCTGAACAAGATCGTGGTTATGTACCTGAGGGTAATGCCGGTACTTCTACTGCAAGCCACGGAAGTCAATCTGGACCCCTTTCCATCCAACCCTCCCAATCTCGCAACACAAACCGAGGATTTGATGGACGTAAATTTTCGGATCATCGAATTAGCACAGTACCTGAAGATGATGAGGATGAAGATGAGGATGAGCTTAGTCCACACGAGCAGGAAGTTCTTAACAACCAATTTGAGAATGATGCGGATCTTCTCACTCCAACTCGTGAGACTTTCCGCGAACGTGGAGAGTCTCTGCCATTAGACACACCTCCTCAACAATACAAGGCATCTGGTTCTTTAAGCAATGATAATACTCCTCGGACTGAGACGGATAAGAACAAGAAACACAAGTCAAGTAGTTCTTCTGGTTGGATTCCTAAAGTATCTCGATGGTCTGAGACTACCGCATCAACTGTGTTTAAGGGTTTCCGAAATAGTGGTCGTAAGAGCGGTAGCAAGGAGCCTGAACATTACAATTCACCTCCATCAAGATCGGACTCTGGACTTGGCACATATCAAACCGAACAAGAACAAACTGATCAAGACCGAGAGCGAGATTATGATCATGATAAGTTCATTGAGCCTACACGTGTTGAATCACCTGCGACCCCCAGATCTGTTAGATCACTCGCTAGATCCGATGATAAATTACACTCTGGCTTCTCTTCAGAACAACTTCATCAACAATTTTTGAAGGAGGAGATCCCTCTCAGTCTTCTACCTGGTGTCTTGCCAGGTGTCGAAGATCCAAAATATAAAGCTCATCGAAATTCCTTGAACCTTCAACATCCACAACCTCGTCAAGGTCCAACACACCGTTACCAAACTCATCTTGAATCACAAGCTCAAAACTTTGATCAACCTCCACCAATGTCTCCTTCATCCATCAATTGGGGTTCATCAACTAGCATCAATCGTTTACCACCTAACGCAAACCATCGTTATAGTCAAGCAACAACTAATACTGATGGAAGACTCTCCCCAATTTCTGATGGTGGATATTCAGATCGTTCTGCTTCAGGTCAAGCTCCTGCCAGACCTCCCAAGGAACCAATAGTTCCTGAAAAGCCACTCAACATTCGCAACAAATCTGCCAAACCAAGTCCTTTGAGTAATGAACATTTGCAAGATGATAATGGGGATGCCAATCCTCAGTCTGCTTCTAGAAGATTGAGTGGTGCTTTGGGTGTTCCAACGAGAAAACCTACTGGTCCAAGAAGTATGAGTGTGACTAGTAAGGGTGGAGAATTGAGTAGGGATGAGACAGTTATCAGAAGAAATGTTAAGAGAAGTATGTGAATCAATCCGATATCATCTGGGTCATATGTGCTAATTAAACCATAGATACATTTGGTAGTATTGCCAGCAATCATAGTGGCGAGTCAGAAACTTTTTAAGTTTAAACAAAAATTTGGGCGTGCGTTGCGAGCGATGTGTTAGCGAATTACTTAGAATACCCCCCGTTACAATTACAGGAACAAAACAAAATAACAACAATACGAAATAATAATACTTTTGCGAAAAGGTGGACTCGGTTGAATGGTATGGATGGGGATTGGGGATGGAGGAATGGATTTCTTACGGGGTGGGATGATGAGAGGACGAGGAATATGGATGGAGATCATGATGATGGTGATGGGAGCAGAGTGCTTTGATGATTTATTGGGCTTGCGCATTTTCGCTCTCAATGGATATGATATGATTTGGGATTTCATAATATGAAAGGGAGAGACATGATGACATTATGATGAAAATGGATGGATACCTCTTGGTTTTTTTTTTAGTTTCTTGCTCTTTACTTTTTCCCGAAATGATGTATGTGTGTGGTGTTTATGCTTCTTGTGTTTAGCTTTTGAGAGGGAGATTTAATATGGAGGGATGAGGATTTGAGTGGGAGTGGAAGGGAGGAAGGGAGATCTCAATAGGATAGATGGGAGAGTGGAGGTGGGGAATGAATGTGATGGAGTGGATATGAATTCATGGGGGGACTTGGATCGGTGTGGATGAGCTGAGCTGAGCTGAGCTGCGCTCAATTGCATACATACATACATAATTATAGATGTGAAATGATATGACATGAAAAGGGTGGTTATCAGTGTTATTAATCTTTTTGTTATATGCTTTTGTGAGTGAGTGTGAGATTTGTTTATGAGTTTAAGTTTGTGGATGAGTTATTCTTCGTATATACCAAAAGTAAAAAGTTTGACAATACTTCCATTTGAAAACAGCCGGATCTTGTATTGAATGTAGTAGAAACACCCAACTCACTCCCTACAAAATGAAGAACCATTTCTTCTCTTTTCAAATTGAAAACCTGACCAAACACTTCCCTGTCTGATGTACATATATACTATAGCGCTATTTATTACTATTACTATTACTATTACTATTCCTAGGTATTTTTAAGTATTTCCCTACCCTTCGCTTCCCTTTGCTTCGTTTCGTTTCGTTTTATTTTGTTTCTCAAACATAAATACAAATATAGATATAAATACAAGTACTTGGAGGTTTATAAGGAAAGGGTTAGTTAATGGAAATTGGTTTTTTTTTGTTTGGTAGTTTCTGGGATGTGGGGTGTTTTTTGGAGATGGGTTGTTTAAAACTGTTTTGAATGCGGGGGTATATATATTTTTTTCCTTGGAGAGGGGGGGAAGGGAGATCATGTGGGGTTTGTATTGGGAGGGGGGAGGGAGAGGAGGGAGAGGAGAGATTTGAGATTTGAGATTTGAGGTTTAGAAGAAGATAGGATGATTTTATTAGATTAAGGACTTAAGGAGAAGGAGGTGAGGAAAGTGAGGGGCGGGATGAAACAGGTGGAGAGTGTAGAAGAGGGGAATTGGGATGGAGGGAATGTGGTTAAGAAAGGAGGCTTATTCTATGCTTATTAGTATTCTTATTGGTTTTATCATGGTGGTTTGAAAAGAGAATAGTACAAACAAGAATAGGAATAAAAATAAAATTTCATACATTTTCCTCTAGATCTTTATATCTACATCTCCACTCTATTTATCTGGAAACTCCTCGCGGGTAAATTCCTTTGATTATGATGATGATGATGTTTATATTCCTCATTCCCTCATTCCCTACTCTTCCTCTTCACCCTGCAAACTTCTTCAACCGCCTTCAAGACCTCTATCCAATTCTTGTTAATAATTCACTATCTTCAATAGCCAATATTTAATATCCAATATCTAACGTTCAATATCCAAATCACCCCCTTCACCTTCCAACACTACCCCCCCCCCCCCCTCGATTTTCACCCCCGAATTCCATCCTCAAATCCCCAAACCAATATGTCGAAAACGTAGTAACACCCCGCATGCGCGATTTCACAACGAATTCTAAGCGAGAATATAATTTGTATAGGTAGGGAGATAGAGGAAGGTGAAAGGGATATAAAGAACTAGGAAATTAGATTGAGGAGTGGAGTTGAGTTTGATGAATAAATGAATGAATAAATAAATATGAAGATGTAGTGATGAGATAGAAGCTGGAGAGGTTAGATAATAATGTAGGAGATCAAATTGATAAAATGGGAGATGATATCACGTAGATATGTTGATATCATAGGAGGGAATGAGTGAGATGGGTATGTGGAGGATATTGAGATCAGTGAGGATTGTGCGGGAGCTGGATATGGATTTGGAGATTGGGTTGAAGGGTTAAAGAATGAATTGAAGGGTTCGAGAATAAAAGTGTGCTGATATAGAAATGAGAGGAGGAGGTTAGTTTGGGGAAGAGGATATCTATCTATGATTTGTTGGACTAAATGCCCGTTTTCAAATCTACATGGTATGTAGAATACCAGCAAAAAATATACAAACCTTTTCGACTATATCTCTCGTCCATTTTCTGGGAGACGGAGGGGTAGTAGTAGGTAGATACAATGGATGGGATAGGATGTGGAGAGGGTTTGCTATTTTATTATGCTATCTTATCTTATATGTTTTTCTATGAAACGCGGGAGATTTGGGAGACATACAATGGAGCTCTCATGAATAGAAATCTAGTGTCAAGATGTGATGATTCTGCGGCTCTGATTGCGGGATAGAAAAGTAGAATTATGATTGATGATATATATAACTAGGTAGACTACTATAAAATTTACTTGATATCTCCCCCGGATTATATACTTCTGTACATGGATGTTCAAGACTTTTGCGATTCTGGTGGGAGAAGAGAGTACTATGATGAATCCCCTCCATCTAATTTAAGGAGTGCTGCAAGATAGCAGGTATGATGATTCGACAGACATGAGACCAATCTGTAATGAATACCACTATGAAAGACAAAAGTTGCACCGGCATGGCTACTTGAAGGTATAGGTATATCTAATAAATCTCAAAAAACTACACTGTGAATGCCTCAAAGGCTTCGTGAAGGAGCCAATAATCGGAAATGTGCAAGCCCACGTTCTATAAAGAAGTCATGAATGATATTATTGTATGCGTAACTATAGGCTTCACTTGAGCATTGAATCAAAGATGGAAGATAGGAAGATGAAGGGGGAAATTCTTCATGGTGAATTTGGCATTGCAAGTTGGGAGGTCAGCTCGAAGACTACCAAGTTTGCAGTGATGAAGGATCGCGCTTGAGCTGAAAACTTGGCTGGGATCTAGCAGCGGTAGTTGAGAGAGATGAAGAAGGGATTCCAGGACTATCGGCGTGGAGTGGAGAATCGAGGAAAATTGGCCTCCGAGGAAATGATTGGAGGGCCTTCGGGAGATAAAGGTTTGATTGAGCACCTGGACTGTGGTAATGAGAGGAGCAGAGTACCTGTTGCAATTTGCAGGACAAATTTTCTGCCTTGGTGAAGTAGGACTATGTAAACGAGGTTTACAGGTCCCAAAATCCAAGGATGTCAGGTCTCGACCTTGCGTTCCAAAATTCTAACGACTTCTCCTAAAAATCTCAATGATGTTTGGTGGAATCTGATGAACAGCTGGCACATGCTGATGTGTATGTGTGACAGTGACGAGATACTTTTCAGAACATGCATCTGAGTATCCAGTTCATTCACTTGAACCAACTCATTTGTACTACCGGGTGTCCCCGTACCTTGTCTATTTTGCATCCTAGAATTTGATCTTTGTGCTTCCAACACCTCTACCTTTGATTTACCTTGCGCTCCTACGGGTACGTGGCTTTTTGAAGACTCCGTAATAATGTATAGTCTGGTATCGTCATTGTATCGGACAAGTACCTAGATGTATCCCTCAACAAATTCACCCACGGACTTACCCTCAACCCGCAAGAAATCTCCGAGAGAAACAGTGGTTGTAAATGTGACGTTGAGTTCTCAAATTGAGGCTCGAAGAACCAGGATACTTTAATCTAAATCCTAATAGTCTATCGGGCCGGTTGATCGGAAAATGCTACATTGAGGGTAGAAAAAAGCAATTCATTCTCGTTCGGAGGAACTTCCCTCTTAATATCTTTCAACTGTAGATACTACCACAGAGTTCTTCAACACAGAAATATACAGGTACAGTGCAATGAAGCAGGTACAAAATTTTAGTGTGAGTGCAAGGAAAAGGTATTGGTGGATGTATTGCATGGCAACCGCTTTCCCTAATGCCGAGGTGGAGAAATATATATTTGCATGAAGCGAACGAACGGGAGTTGGGAGTTATCGTGCTGCACGGACACGGTTACTCAAACGGTTATCCTCAATTTCGGAGGAGCCGCTGGTTGGTGTACACATATAAAGAGGGCAAGGGAGGAAGAAATGGTCCCTGTTATGGTGGTAAGTTGCTTTTGAAAAGAGAAGGCAAGAGATTCCGAGGTTGTAATTTATGGTATGTTTTGTTTTTGATTATTGGAGCGATATATTGAAGAAAGTCCTTGAAGATCTCTCCACGGAGGTAATGGACATTGAAGAAAGTGATACAAGATGAAGACATGCATGTACCAAAACATGAATGAGTGTCGTCACAAGCGCTATTCCAAACACCCGGCAGTTTTGGTGATATTCGAATGTACGAAGTCTGGATGCAGAGTCCAAGAGAATAGAACGAGGTGATTTGATGGATGAAAGACATTCTTCCTGATGTTTCATCCATTCTTTTCATGTTCGGGATTTCCCTCCCAAGGTCAGGAAACTTAAGAAAGAAAAGGAAAGCTTAACCAACCACTCTGTAATTCCTTCTCAGATCCTTTCCTCGTGTCGGTCAACTATTGGAGCAAGAAGACAAAAATCAAGATCTCTGTACCTCAAGCCAAGGACCAACTAATTCGTGAAGCTGGTGGAGAGAAAGCGCAACAAAAGCAATCGAGATCCATCATCCGTCTGTGTATGTCCATTGGTTCGTACGAATAGCGAATGAAAGGAGGATAAGTTTCCAGCACAAGATTGCATTGTCGGTGCACAGTAATGCATGTGGAAGATCTGGTATGTGTGATATACATCTTGAGAAGTTTTGATAACGATCATTGATGGCACGTAAGCCAGAACCTTGCACGTGCCTTGGCAGTTGGCACATGGATGGATCATGGATGGATGGTATTGTTAGAAACAATAGACTTCATCATGTCAATCTAGGGATTTTATGAAACCTTGTCCTAGACTTTAGTGCTGAACGTTGGTTATAAAAGAGATGAACAAAGTTCCAAATTGGTTGGTGCTTGAACCGTCAAAGAGCTATTCGAGAAAATCAAGTGTGTTTCATGTTTATGTTTTCCTAATCTCAAGCTTTTGATTTGTCTACGAGATACTACTGTACAAATCATGGTCACAATACTCACCTTCAGATTGCCATGCTTGCTGACATATACTTTCGTACCATACCATACGATCAATCCACATAATACTCTGCACTCCACTCTTGATGCACCCCGGGGAATCGCATGTTTTCAGCATACCTACTTACAGGATGTGATGCCCAACATATCACACCATCACTATGCAGTACCTGAAGCTGCACGGCCGGGGAAAAGATTTTCTTGTGCCTGTCGTGCGTGCTCTGTGCTGTGTGCAGTGATGGAAGTGTGACTTGGAATACATAGGTACTTCCAAGATAGATATTCCGAGCCTGTGCCTAGGGCTCAATAAATTATCTCCCTAAATTATTTCCTAAGGGTGTAATAAAAATCTAATTTGTCTAGATTGAACGGTTCAACCTCACTTGACAAAGTTTGGTAACACCGTTACTAGGTGGATGTTAGAAGGAGAGACATGTACGGAGTATTAATAACCTAGAAGACTAAGAGGGATATAGGCAAGTCTCGAGTCTTCCGGCTTCTCGAATCGAAATGATTGAGGCTGGCGGTCATCTATCGAGATTCAAGACTCCACCTATTGTCTTTGTCTTTGAAATACACGCAGTAGCTTGCGAAAAACTTGGTTAGACATATCGATGCGATCCAAAGGCCCGGGTCTGATGAAATGTCGATAGGGGGGTTGAAAGAGAGATAGCGGGTACGCTCGGGAATCCCGATACCCCACGAGTTTGTTATTTGGACTGAGGATTTACTACCTTGGAGCTTGTATGTATGTATATCGTTGTAAAGTTTATTGTTAAGAAAGATAGGATAGTTGGAATTTTGAATCCTCAAGTCTCGGGGCCGTTATAGTTCATTATATCATCCTCGTGCCAAAAGGTAATGCAGCCCCGAAGCTAGATGCACATGCCACATAATGATAAACTACATAAGGACTAAACTGGTTTCTTAGCAGCAAGCACGGGTATATGGAGAGTGGAAGTTTCCGAGTCTTATCCGTTGAATGCGAAACTTTGGATGCTTTGGTAACGAAAAAACCACATTTGGAGCAATTCTAAACTGTCCGGGAAGGGCCATTAGAAATGAAAGGTATGTCTCCGTACTAGACCAAGACCTATTCGTGTTAGACTGCAGAGACAATTTTATGTGAAGACCATTTGCTTTTATGATGCTGGGCTCTGTAAGTTATAATTGTGATCAACATATTAACCGGGTTTTCAATCCCAATATGTCTTTGGTATGTGATATTGGGTTGAAGAACTTTTGATGTGCTGGTAAGGTTGTTCTTTTAGCCTGTAAGTGTTGATGGCTACACCTATGGAGGAGTGAAATAGGAAGACATTGTGTGAGTACCGACATGGATAGAGTGGTAGAGTGGTAAAGAGACAATTGACTGGTAGATATACAGAATTCTGGCTGGAAGTCCAACGGGTTGACCTTTGATTGAAATTGCCAACTCAACCAATCGATTGGATATTGAGCTTACAATTAGGTTTGTACTCGAACAATACTCTCAGTCAACCTTGTCGACGGATGGTCTCCGAAAGCCTGTAAAGGTTGTGACTTTGAGGGTTGTATACATGATAATTGGCTTATGTTGGTAAGACGGTAGATATGAATTTGCCAGGTATGAGATTATTCCTATTGATCCTCAACCAATCGATGATGTTAAAATATTTGCAGCTTGGTGAGTTTGGTACCCTTATCAATTTACTTCCAGTTCGTATTGTTTTGGAATCTTGATGCCGAATATCTTCCAAGATTCTTCCATTGTATTCGAGATGGTGTAGCTTTTACTCTGGAGTACTCGGTACGAATGTCATGAACTCCTAAGTGGTGTGTATTATAACTACAACCAATTCGTATCGCAATCTCCTTAGAGTTTTTCCCATCTCTTTTGGTGATATGACATACCCAGTGACAGATCCCCGATGCCCACTATAATTGAAATAAAAATAAATAATACATCTTCTAAGTGGAAAACCAAATGGAGTTGCTAATTACCTACCTCTGGACAGATGAGATGGTGATCAAAGCATCAAAGCGACGCAGCGAGTACTCAGTCTTCGTACCGGTATATCGATTCCTGTCTGTACCCAACACCCAGTGGCAAATCATACCCAGATGAATATGAGATGCCTTTAAATAGGCAATAACATGGAAATCTTATACTCGTTCAAGCCAACTGTCTCGCTAGGTACTGAGTTCTAGATGCTTTTGACATTAAGAAAACGTGAACGGAAGACGGGAGACTAGACGTAGTCGAGAAATGTGCTCCGTATCCTCTACCACACAGACAGATCTTGCATTTTCTCAGGGCAAGTTTACACTCGAGAATGCATATCATTGGAACCCAAGCTCTATTGCACCTCGGCTTGAATGATCTTTTCTGCAGTTCTACCCGGACAAAGCAAAGAAAAGGGAAAGAAGATGCAACAAAAGAAAAGAGACGGAAAACATCGCATCTATAATTTTCAATTGGTTGTAACGACTAAATTTCCGGCGCAAATGATGTTCCAAGCCCCTGACTGGACGCCTCACCAAAATATCCACTTCAATTTCCTCAATATGAAATCCCCGCCACTATCCCATGCATATTCTACTAAACCATATTAATCCATAGTCTGATCTATCTACTAATCATCTTGACTTGCAGTTTTATATCGAAATCCTTGCATAACATTTTGATCCCATCAAACCTTTCAAGAACCAATCCTAGCTAGTCAATCAATCAGGGGACGCAAGAGTCAAGACCATCAACCTCAGTCAAGTTGAAGGGTCCCTTCAGATTGGCCCTGGGCTAAATTCTTAACTTTCTGACCTATGGAGCTCCGAAACTTCTACGAAAGTATGTGCCTTGACGGTTGCTGCTACCCATGGATTGAATATCCACAGGGCATATCCATATCCATAACTGAAGCGTAGGGTATAGTCCGTGTGTTCTTGAATCTCGTGAATCTTCACTTCCTTCACTTTCCTTCTTGCTTGTATATACAATATTTGAGGTTCGATTCAAACCGATACGGCAGTATCGTTAGGTCTCTATTGCTCCGACTCTCGTGTATCTGTTTGGTTTCAGAGTGGGACGACTCCAATAGGACTGGAGGAAAAGAACACAACCGAAAAGGTGGAAGCAGAAGACTTTCCATCATCGTTACACATTTACTTTTGACGTCGCGCAACCAGATATACGGTGTGAGTATTTCTTGTACCTTGGTACTATCCCGCAGCCATACTACCAACCCGAGCTCTCGAAACAAGATGTCTGAGAAGATGTAGTGGTAGCTTGGAAAACATGCGATTGCCATGAAGCAATGCTAATTGATGTCTTTCTCCAGCAACAGAACTCCAGAGTCACCAGAAATTCAACGTCGCCCCTCATTACTTTCATCTTTTTTTTTGTCTCAAGCCCCAAAACCTGGCGTACCTCAAACATCTGAGGCTGAAGTGTATTCGACATGAACTACTAGTCCTAAAAATTCTGTCATAAGCAGTGAAGCAAGGAAACTACGGGACGGAACCAACTGTTATGGAATAAATGCCTGATCAACATATTGCAACAGATATATACGCATGTTGATCGATGTCTTAAAAAGGTATGCGCCGAGGATTTGTCCGTTTGGTATATGGGAGTTGAAAGATTTATTCGTTGGATCAACTTTGTCTTCCAATCCATACTAATGGGCCATTTTCAATTTAGTATCATTATTTGGAAACAATTATACTTTTCTTTGCTTTTTTTCCATTTCATAGGTATTCACTTAAGCAAGCTGAGTTCGGGCACATTAAGAGCAGTTCTCAAGATTCGTCCCATTTAAAGCTTCATATAGCCTCGAAACAAGGTATCCTGGACCTGGTCAAACATCACGTCTAATTGATTACATTTTATCAAAGCGACCCCTTTACAATTTGAAAGCTACGCCGTCTCGAAACTATTTCAATTATCCCCACAAGGATCTCGAGTTTCCCCATACTCCATACAAAGCTTATAGTATCTCGTGAATATACCCAAGGATTACCCGAGCTTTGATCAAGTCAAGTGAATATTGGAAAACACACCATCGAAAAAGCATCAGTTTTCTTAATGCAGTAATTCACTAGATTCAAAGGTGGTTCATGGATGTCCAAGTTTGATCGAAGTCTTGTTCTTTTCTCCTTCCCAAGAATAGACAAACGCATCGTCAATCATGATGAGGGACAATGGATGGGAAACTGAAGATGAGTTTGCGGTGGCAGCTCAATACCACCTCCCTCCTCCAACAGATACACCTTACAGAACACCAGCGCCATCTATTCGCTCAAATCGATCAAACCGCTCAAGACGTTCTTCGAGACAAAAATCGGTATCTCCAGGGCCATCTTCTTCGCCACCACCGCTCCCTCAAGGAGAGAAGCGAATGAGTTGTTCTCTTGACGTTACCAATGATGAAACGTAAGAAGCAAAATGATCCTCGGTGCTAAGTTGAATACTGATAGGATAAACAGGATTTCTATTCTCGACCCAAGACGATTTACACCGACTTTGCACGCTAATTTGGTTGCTGAAATTTTAACCTTACGTAGGGACCAGGAAGAGAAAATCAGAACGATTGAGAGTTTGGAGGAGGCACTTCATGATACTCGTGGAGAACATGAATCTTTACAAGATCGTCTTGCAGACACGTCAAAGGAAAGTCGTACTTTGAAACGTCAACTGGCTTTATTAGAAGGTGGGACCTCGTCTGCTTTATCTGAATTAGCAAAGGAGCGAGATGAAGCAGTCGAAACTACTTCAGAGATGCGCCGCCGATTGGAGACCGTTCAGAAGAAACTCAAAAGTCGAGATGAGGAAGTGGATCGCGTACAAAATCTTTGGGCAAATGACAAGGACAATTGGGATGAAGAGAGGAGAAAGTTGGAAGTAAAGATTCACGTTTCTGAAAACAGACTTAAGACAGTCTTGGATGAGGTCGCCGCATATGAAGCCAGTCGTTCAAGGAACCAACCACAAGTAACCAACCCAGAAGATAAAGACACTGGAAACGAGAGTGATGGTGGTAGTGTTCGAACAATGAGTTTAACCAACAGTTTACGCTTCTCGATGCTCAATGGGCCCAATGGATATGGGGTCACTAAAGGAAATGGTTTGAGCCTTGCCGATGAATTAGATCTCGACGAAAGCGAGACTGATTATGACGGTGGACGTGACAGTCTCATGTCATCCCCAGAGAAGCATCACCGAACTCAAAGTCGTGAAAGTATCCTATTCCGCACTCACCGTAGGAACCAGAGTGGCGACAGTATGAAGCGACCTGGAAGCATTACCCGAGGTAAATCATTACTCAACCAAACCGTCCTCGAGAGGTTAGAAGGACGTATTTCAGAGGATGATGAGGTTGCACCTAAACCAACATTTCAATACGTCGACACTGGCATTCAGTACTCCCCTCCACCATCGCCAAAACTTTCGCCAGTAATTGAAATAGTTTCTGTTATTGAGCCAACAGCGATAGCTGAGCCAGAGATTTCCCACAAATTTGAGGAAGAGCCATCGGTTGAGATATCGAGTAAAGACTGGGAAGTTGGAGCGAACCAGCGAAGGAAGCGTGTGTATACAAATCCTCCTTTGGTCATCGAGCCTCCTAAGAGTTCTCCTATGATATCTTCGGCATCACAAACTGTCGATGAACCTCTCAGCCCCCCGCGAACACCTGTTTTCTCAACCCGAGCTCCACAACCACCACCTTCTCAGTTCATGCCTATTAAAGAGGAGAATAAGATGACATCTGCGTCCACACAGACAGAAGCCGAAGCCGAATCCCGCGAAACACCACCAACATCCACCAAACGTATTCCACCACAAATACCCATTCCATTGATTCAATTGCATCCGCCTTCCTCAGCTCCAGCAACCCCTCGGCAGTCTTTGTTGCCGCAATTCTCGAAAGATGTAGGCTGTCAGGTTTCAATCTCAGCACCCTCTTCAACAAGATCGATGGCTGTACAAACGGAAGAGATCAGGGTCGCTCAACGCTTGAATACTCTTCCAGCTCATCTTCACCCATCTATTATATCGTCTAGCCCTCCATCGCCCGATCTGAAACCCGATGGTCTTCAGTTCTCGCCAATTCCAGATACACTTCCTCCCAAGAATCCCCGTCGCCAAAGCAGTCAACGCAGTATAACAACGCTCCCATCATCGCCACCTTTAATGGAGACAAGAGATGCATATCCGGGTAATAATGACGATGGGCCTTTGGCAAAGGACAGAGGACAGATTAGAAGATCTCATCGCGTCAGTAGTCTCTTCGCAGGCTTCGATGGTGCAAGCTCTGATGAGGTTGATGAATTTGATGATGGTGATGTTAGCGATAATGATTTCAGAACCGCACTTTCTGCTCCAAACGCAACAAAGAAGGATGATAAAAACATGTCACAAGTCTCCAGATCAATTCCACAAAAGATAGAAACCCCCAATATCTTATCTATCAAAATTCCTTCCAATCTAGATGATGAAGAAGATGATCAATTCGATGACGAAATATTGGAGTTGCCACCTAGGACGTCCAACAAAGCCGCTCGCACTCTTGGCCATCCTTTACCAATTATTTCAATGGCTAAACCAGCTCAATTGCATCGTTCAGCTCTTATTCAGAGTGGTGTGAATGCTCACCGTCCCCGACCTGGTAGCTCTGGGGCGATCGAGGAGGTTGCACCCCCATTTCCGATACCTACTAGAGCAAGCTCTCGGAGACCTGGAGCTGCTGCTAGTGCACCCAGCGATGGTAATAGAAGTCCCAGCCACGGCAGAGGATCAAAGCCTTATCGATCTGGTAGTGTTAGCCGAAGTGGCAGTGTTAGAAAAGTTCGATCCGCTGCTGCTATCACGAGGGGTAGGCGTGCTCCACGACGTTCCGAAAGCAGATCACCACCCATGTCACCAACTCTAGAGCCCGAGAGTCCTGGCTTGCCACCGCTCCCACATAACGATATCACGACGCCGCGATTTTCGAGGGATAATGGTAGCGGTCGTTACAGGATGCATAGACAGCAATCATCGACCACAAACACCGCGTTTACTACGAACACTGCTGGATCCTCGGTCATTACTGATACACAAGGTACCAACCAAGCCACAAGTGTAGTAGATGCTATTGCCCAGACAATGGTTGGAGAGTGGATGTTCAAGTACGTTAGAAGACGCAAGTCCTTCGGAATGTCTGATCAAGATGGGGATAATGCTACCAACGGCGCTCGTCACAGGCGATGGGTTTGGCTCGCGCCTTATGAACGAGCTGTCATGTGGAGCAGTAAACAGCCCACATCTGGATCTGCATTGTTGGGCAAAACTGGAAGGAAATGTAAGTTAAGAAATATTCTGTTCTCTAGTTATACTAACTTTAATAGTGACAATTCAATCCGTGTTGGATGTCAAAGATGACAATGCACCACCGAAGGGATCTGGAGGAGTTTTTAATCGTTCGATCCTCATCCTTACACCAGCACGTGCCCTCAAGTTTACTGCTATTTCACGAGAACGACATTATGTCTGGCTTACTGCTCTATCCTTCCTCGCACATTCGTCACAGGCTGTACCCGATGTTATCGCACCCCATCCTGCACAAACCTTGTCTGCCAAAGCTCCTCCACTACCCGACTTCCAGAAGCCCGGTCGTATGCAAAAAACACACAAAATTCGAGACTCGATCAAGGTTGCGAAGGGGAAAAATGCTTTTAATCGTACTGGTCCTGCATCAAATTATTCATCTTCTCAACAAACCGATACAAACACGAGCGTTCGCGACAATGAATCGTTTCATACGAATTCACACTCGGTACGCTCTGACCCTGCAGAGGCACCCGTCGTACCCCGCTTTTCCGAAAGAGGAATGGGTGGTCATGGCAGGAAGCGCAGTAACACTGGCTCACATATACCACCTCCTCTCTCTTTCCGAGGTTTCAGTGCTGGTCATGTACCAACTAATAGCACTGCAGGTATGAGTGACAGAACAACAGGCTCCTCCGAGAATCACAGCTCTTATTCTCAGCCTTCTTCGGTGACAGGATACAATGGACCTAGTAGTCGCTCATCTATTCGTACATCTGATGCCAGTGCACGTCCAGGAGTTGTTGTAAATAACTTCTTCGATGCAGTAGGAACAATGCGAATGGAAGCTTTTATTTCTCCACTAGGTGTTAGGAGATTTGATGATTTTCCCGACGAACAAGACGAAATGGATATGATCAGTTTGCAGCGTCGACGCAGCAGAGATGGAAGCAGAAGAAATAGAAATAAGGAATCTTTTGGTGTTAGTCGAGGTGGCTTTGGTGGGAGAGCAATTGAAGATTGGTACAGCGGAAGTAGAACTGCTGGAGAAGAAGAATGTGGCCATCATGAGTTGGAAGAAAAATCGGAAAGACATGGAAGAGACTCTAGAGATGATCCTTTCAGCAATTTTTGATCTTGTCACTCAGACAGGCAAATCACACTATCGGGTTGTATCTTTTTAAACGATACTACCTATACATTCATTACATTTTCTTGAGTTTGGGATAGGACGGGGTAGGAACGGCTTGGTCTGGTCTGGTGGATCGGGTGGAAAGGGATGATTTTGACAAGGCTTGGCGGAGGGAAACCAGCTGGAACCTTGAGGAGCATCAGGAGATTATGGTAGGAAGGAAATGGCCATTTCTGGAGCTGGGGATTTTTTTGTCAAAGAAGTGGGAACAACAGGCTCGCGCCAACACAACAGATATCACCTCGATTGATATCGATGGGATGCATTTACCAGTAACGTTTTTGTATATTCTACAATTTTCTGCTAGTCAGCAGGCTTTCCTTTTTTTCTCTTTTCTTACTTTCTCGTATTTAGCTACTTTTGTCTTTTCTGTTTTTGATAGGAACTACACTTTTGTTGGATATCCTCTGCGCTTGGTGTTGAAGTGGGAGGATAATCGTATACCCCTTTCTTGGCTTTCGTTGTTTTTTAGCTACGGCTTTGCTTGGGATGCTTACAGTACTCCCTGTTCTATTCTAAAAGTTAGGGGTGGGTGGATGTATTTTCTTGGAATATGGAGAGAGGTGTGGAGAGCAGTGAAGAGGGGTGAAGTGGAATGTTATGACAGAGGATAAAATAGGTGCTGGGGATGGTGGGAGGAAGGTGGGGGACAAAGTAGATAGATCAATACACATGAGATGGTATTGTGAGAGTCTCGATAGAGAGAAGTATTATACAATCTCTACATAAAATAAATGTACATTGATCTTGTTCTCCTATGTGAAATACAATGCATAGATCCACTGTGTGATTTCTTGATTCGCCTCCCATAAAATCAGTTTTGTCTCAAGCCATTTTTTTGTTGAACAGCGCCAAGATGAATACCACCTGAAATGTTGGTTCTCATTCAATTTAGCAATTAAAAGTGCAGCCTGTATATTTGCCCGAGTAAGCACTTTATTTTTACTTAAAAGAATGAAAGGAGAGCTTCGCAATGAATCCTTATAAGAATATATATGTAGATTCGAGCTAGGAAACCATCTAAAGTAGGTAAGTGTAAGCTAATACATCACTGCTGACTCATCATCATCATCCACTCACCCAGAAACAAGCCTTGGACCGAGCTTACAAATTACTGGGGAAAGCTAACTCGGCTAATAGAGTTCAGAGCTTATTAGATGCGGGGATCTACGAGATCTCAGTCGGAGCAATGATCATTGATTTACCTACTTAGGAGTCTTCTCCCCTATAAGCAGCATATTCACTAAGCTATTTGGAGGTATAGCCATCAGTCCGATGCTATCCGTTGCGATACCGAAATGAGAAGGTGCGTGGTAGGTAGGAGGTGAGATTTAGGTGTATGTACTGGTGAGTGTGAGAGAGATAAGTAGGTTTTGTTTTGTTTCTGATGTCACTTTGATGTCACTATCTTTTTCTTTTTCTTTCAGCTTGAAAATTGATGCTTGATACTTGACTTGGGGATTTGCTGGAAACACTGGAACTTCTGATCCATACAGCGACTATTGACTTTGAATTGCTCAAAGTGGTTTAGATATCTGGGATAAATTCGTACAATATTTGAGAGTGTATTATAAGGTACCGTACGAGTGTACCTAGACACAAGAGACAAAGTTTGTGTAGCTTGAGATCAGAAATACGACAATCATACATTCAATCGTCAGTATGCCTCCATTCACCCTCAATTCCCTATACCATCGATTTAGTACCTAATCAATCAATCCGCAGATCAAAATGCCCCTTCATCCCCAAGACGAAGTGCAATATCAATCTCTCTCCGATCCTCAAACCTTCTGGGCAAAACAAGCTTCCCAATTACACTGGCATAAACCACCAACTCAAATCATAACTGAGAAAACTAAGACGCTCAAATCAGGTACTTCGCATAAACATTGGGAATGGTTTGGGGATGGAGAAATAAATACTTGTTATAATTGTGTGGATAGACATTTTTTGGCGGGAAATGGAGATGAAACGGCGATTATATGGGATAGTCCTGTCACAGGATGTAAGGAGAAAATTAGCTATAAACAGTTGTTGAAGGAGGTGGAAGTTTTCGCGGGGGTTTTGAGAGAGGAGGGGGTGGGGGTGGGGGATGTTGTTTTGGTTTATAGTAAGTTTCAAGGACATACATATGGAATTGAATTATTTGAAGAAACAGTAGCTAATCATTTACAGTGCCCATGATTCCCGCAGCTCTCATTGGTACCCTCGCAATATCTCGTCTCGGTGCCATTCATGCTGTCGTTTTTGGGGGATTTGCTCCAGCAAGCTTAGCACAACGGATGGAAGCCTCTAAACCAGTAGCTATTCTCACAGCCTCTTGTGGAATCGATGGAACCAAACCTCCTCTATCATATCAACCGTTCATCCGAGAAGCCATTGCTCTCTCATCCCATAAACCCAATAAAACTATTATATGGCAACGCGAACAATTACGATGGGATAATCCCAATAAGGAAAATGGAGAGAGGAATTGGCAAAGATTAGTCAAAAGTGCTGGTTCCAGAGGAGTGAAAGCAGATTGTGTACCTATAAAGAGTACAGATGGTCTCTACATCATCTATACATCTGGAACAACAGGTTTACCTAAAGGTGTATTACGAGAAGCGGGTGGTCACGCGGTCGGACTAAATCTATCTATACGTTATGTATTTGGTATTCATGGACCTGGAGATGTAATGTTTTGCGCATCGGATATTGGGTGGGTAGTTGGCCACTCATATATCTTATACGCACCACTCTTAGCTGGTGCCACGACTGTTCTTTTCGAAGGAAAACCAGTAGGAACACCAAACGCGGGAACTTTTTGGAGAATCATTGATGAATATAAAGTCAATACTCTCTTTACGGCACCAACAGCACTTCGAGCTATCCGTCACGATGATCCGGAAAATAAGTTGTTCAAGGAAATTGGAGAAAAAGGTGGACTCAAGAATTTCCGTGCGTTATTCCTTGCTGGTGAAAGAAGTGAACTGAGTATCGTCACCATGTATCAAGAGCTTCTCACAAAATACGCGGTAAAGGGTGCTAGTGTAATTGATAATTGGTGGTCATCTGAATCAGGAAGTCCTATGACTGGAATTGCTCTGTCACCTCAAAGCGCATCATCACGTACTTCTACTCATGAAATCACACTGATTCTGCCCATTAAGCCTGGGAGTGCTGGGAAACCTCTCCCAGGATTCGATGTCCGCATCGTAGATGATACTGGCAAGGAAGTTCCCCGTGGGACGATGGGGAATATAGTTCTTGGGATTCCCCTAGCGCCTACGGGATTCAGAACACTGTGGAATGATGAAGAGCGATTCTATAAGGGATATATGAAGCGGTTTGATGGAAAATGGATTGATACGGGAGATGCGGGTGTTATAGATGAAGGGGGCTGGGTGAGTGTTATGAGTCGCAGTGATGACATTATTAATGTGGCAGCTCATCGATTCAGTACTGGTTCGTCTCTTTTTTCTTTCGATCGTTCGTCTTGCTTCTTTCAATTGTTTTCTTTTTGCTTTCATATTATCTGATTCGCTTCCTCCTAAAATGTTTCTATCAACAAAGCTAATACCACAAAGGTGCAATCGAACAAGCAATCTCAACTCATCCCCTGATAACAGAATGCTGCGTAGTCGGTATCCCTGATCCTCTCAAAGGCCATATGCCATTTGCATTCATCACACTTTCCACGCCTACACATCCTGCATCCGCAATCCCTCATGCAGATCTGGAGAAAGAAATTCAGGGACTAGTGAGGAAACAAATCGGAGCTATTGCTAATTTGGGGGGAATTATTCAGGGGAGAAATATGATTCCTAAGACGAGGAGTGGTGAGTTTTTTTTTGTTCTTGAATTTGGAAAGAAGATGGGTTGTGGGTTTGAGATGGGACTAATGAGATGGGTTTTTAGGTAAAACTTTAAGGAGAGTTCTGAGAGAATTGTTGGAAAATGAATATCGCGGGGAGGGAGGAAAGAGTATTAATGTTCCGGCGACGATTGAAGATGAGAGTGTTATTGAGATTGCGAGGGGAAAGGTTAGACAGTATTTTGAGAGGAAGGGGAGGGGGGATGGAGGGGTACAGAAGGAAATTGAGAGGGCGAAGTTGTAGAGTTGGGCTTGATGGTTGTGTTATTGTATTGTTGTATTTATTGATGAGATACAGTGAGAGTAGTTTTTAATAGGCGTTTTTATCGGGGATACAAGATGTAATTCACGAAACTGTTTATATGGCTACTGGGAACTATGCATAGTATGATATGGTATAGTTACTAAATTTATCTATAGTGACTAATTAACATTCTCATCTAGAAGAAACATGCTTAACAGCACAGCAAACAAAATAGGAGAAACCCTAACCTAAAACCAAATCCTAAGCGAATCTTCGGCTCTTTACAGACTGATCTAAGGGAGGTATGAGAGGGGATGCGATGAAATGAGAGAGGATGAGAGGGGAATATTCATCTCTTTATTTGGGGGGTTTATATAATAAATATGTGGAAGTGGAGAATTGGGAGAGAGATGGGATAGAGTTGATGGAATGGATGGAGGTAATTAATACTCGATGTTCAATGTTTAGTTATGAGGAGACATAACAAATAGTATACATGACAGCCTAGCCTACAATAGAAAGATTTTTATAAAGCGAAGAAAGATACAACTCCCATACGTTTCTACAGTACCTTCTGTAGTAGAAGAAAGGATTGTATATAGATCGTTTCTATACTCCTTCTCTTCCATCCCATCTCACCACTTGCAGTTGAAGAATGATTCTTTTATCCGCCTTCCTTCCTTGGACTAGTTTTTAGATAGATTTATCGGCTGGGAGTTCAGTTCTTTTAACCTTTTGGGGGGTTTCGCCTACAGAAGAAGTTTTTGTAAAGGGTAGGAAGGGTCTGTTCTATCAAGGCTGTTATCACCCCGGTGGTGATTATGCCGTTTCCATACTAGGTCTAATGCATTGATTGTTATTGTGTCCATCCTATCTTAGGTTCAGAGCTACGAGGGTTATGTACAATATGCTAGTGCGCTAGTGCACCTCGTGTGTAGATGTTATTCAGAACTCAATATAGATCTAATGACAAACATTTTATCTAAAAAGAGGGTCTAAATCTTGTTATAAAGCGCCGAGTACGAGGAGATTCCTAGGATTTCAAATATTGCTTTTGGAAGTTGTGAGCAGTTGATAAAATTATAATTAAATTTTCTTCTATCCCGTTTCCTAGCCACGGTGATTGTCGCTTTATAAAGTAAACATAATTAATCCTTCATCCACACTTCTAACACAATCAAGAATTCCTCAATACTCAAGCCTCAAGTCAAGACATCGACGACTATATGAGTCTCATTACCGAGAATATCAGCAAATCAATGCTGAGACATTTCGTTATTAGAAAGGAACACCGATAAATAGAGTGAAATGATGAATAAAGAGCAAAATTATGGCGTTTGATAAGATTCTGTTGCAAGCCCAGCAAACCAATTAAGTTCTGATACGTAGCTTGACAAATTTCTAGCCGAAGTAACTACACTAGCAAAACTTGAACTCTCATCACAAAGTTGAAGTTGAACTCCCGCAAATCGATCTGCAATCCAATCCATCCATATTATTTGAGAGCCTGTGATAGCAGGGGTATGTGAGGTTCCTGGGAGACGGAAAAGTTGGACGTGAGATGTGGGAGAGAGATCAAGTGCAGCCTCAAGTTTTTCATCGTGTTGTTAGAGTTGACCATTGGATCCTTATCGCCTTGGATTACGAGAAGAGGTCCAGAAATCCTGCGTCCTCCGTTTGCTGTCAGATTGTCGTATTCCAAAAGCCATTCATTGGATGCCCAGTCTGGTTTTAGTAACTTGCCATCAAGCGTGAGTAATATTGGTATGGTTATTGAGGAAGCGCAATCAAGCTTAATGATATTGTTGAATAGCTCTAGGCCTTCAGATGTAAAGAATTCATTGTAATCGAATTCGGGGTATAACACCGCAATTCCAGGAGCCATATTTGCAGCTATCAGGCTTCCAAAAGGCTCGGGGTTATCGAGAACACTTGTGGCGGGAGAGATGGCAATGGCACCGAGATAACCCGGAATGTTCGATACAGCATGTTTTTGAGCGACACACCAAGGAGCGACCCCTCCTTGACTATGTCCAAGCACAACGAACGACTCATACACTAGAAGAAGCGAAAAAATCATGGGCAATCGACTGGTTATTCTGGTCTTTGTCTACACCCAAACCTGCATAATCCGTGGCTACTAAGACTTGACCTTGAAGAACCAATTGGTAGGGAGCAATAGAATAGTTCCAGAGATTTTTGAATCTGGATGGAGCAGTCGAGACTGTGTTCCTGATGTACTATGAGCCCAGGCGACAATCTGGTCTCCGCCGTTCGCATCTAGACCAGGCAAATAAGGCCACAAGACATAGCCAGAAACAGGACGATGTTCTCCAGACAGACTCTCTGATACATAGATGAATCGTGATACCGCAGTACTAGGTGGAAGAGTATAGTTTTGTGACAAGTTTACATCTTCTTGCACTTTGATCGGTGTCCCCGGTTGAGCAGATGTCATGTCAATTCCAGATACTGAGTAAAATGCGGCATCTTCTTCAGCGCTGTGGGCCCATAGAGAGTGTTATTATTGAATGGCATCAGAGACATTCTTGGGGAACTCTGATAAAAGTGATTCGGCGATGTTGTTCACCTTTGCAATGACAAAGAATGGAACAGTGTGAACAAAGATGATGAAGGGAAGAGACATTTCATTCAGCGGGAAGACCCTTGAAGGTTCAGACAAGCCAACAGTTGTAAACTGTTATAATTGTTGAGTAATTTGCAGAAATGATAGGTCTATTGGTACCGTTTGTAAGAATCGAAAGGCGAGGTATAGATTCTACGTGGTAGGAAAGAATGATACCCTTCTCCTATCATATCCTATTTGATTGGTATTAGCGTCTTAACTAAGATTCTTGAAGACATTGTACCGAGTCTTCTACGTGTAACATAAGCGGGAAAAAACCATATTACAACGTATTGAGGCTAAAAGAAAGAGGCACGGCAAATTCTGTTTTACTCTATGAAACACGTATTAGGTATATATCTATACATCCGTGGATGTCCTACAACCCTACCGCATAAGGCACGGCACGGATGGAGAGAGTCCAAGAAATCTAGATAAAGTGCTGTTTGCATGGCTACTACACACCTAATCTAAACATCCCTGGATATATCGGATATTGATATATTCAATAGCATAAAATAACTAGACTCAACTAGCTGAATTGTGAATATTACCCCGCGGTCGATTTTGGGGATAGTGAGGAGTGCGGTCGGGTTTTCGTGTCTATATAGTTTGTGGATGTATAGATTCATATCGTCTAAAATTCCGCAATCATTATTTACCATCCATTATAACTTTCCACTTCTCACACACCTATATATACAACACAGCAATAGTAATAGTAAGTAGGCCTCAAACACCTTATACATATACCTATTAATCAATCTACTACATTTTATTATTTTATATTACAATGAAGTATCTCTCCTGAAGTCTACCGAATGCTCTTTCCTCTCTTCGCTTCCCTTCTCTCCCCTCTTTTCCATCATACGCCTATGCTTCATTTCTCGTCCCCTTTTACCGCTGTATTCAATCTCCCAAGGATATGACTAGATACATATACATAGCCACTGTTTTCATATATATCATATCATATACCGATCCTCATCCTCATCCTGACCCTACCTTTTACTCTCAAACCTGAATCTTTAAACCCACACATTGAACACATCAAATCATAAATAAATCTTCCCCCCCCTCATCTCTTCTCTCTTCTTTTTGATATACTATACAACTACCTCTCTCTGTAATGCTATTCGATTCGTTTTTATTTGATTTGTTTTGGATCAATCGATCTCGAATTACTTCGGTTTTGTTTTATAAAGTACAATCTCATCTTGTGGAGTTCAGTTCAGTTCAGACCAGTTCCGATCAGTTCCGATCAGTTCCGATCAGTTCAGATCAGATGGGTTTGATAATCGATAAGTTTAATCCAATCCAAATCGACTCGCCTCAGTTCAGCTTAATATACCCAAACACTCAAATACCCAAACACCCAAATAGATACATACATCTCCATGCAATAGAACAAATCACCTTTCCTACCCCTCCTTCCCCATCTCTCTTCTCATCCCCTCTTCTTCTCCTTCATTCCCACACGTACCAATCTAACGCACAAGTGAGTGTATGTATAACTCCTCGTTTTTGACCCCCAAAACCATTCTATACCTCGCTTCTCTCAATTTCCCATTCTCCCCTGGTTTACTCCACCCCATCCTGACCAATCCTAACCCATCATATCCTAATCCCTTTTCTTCCTCACTCCTTGGACTTTCCTCTAAATACATACATCTCTTCTCGCTTCTCCTTTTCCTCCCCCACTCCCTGGACTTCCCTCTATAATATATATATATATATATCTCATCTCTCTTTTCCCTTTCCTAATGCCCTTCCCTCTTCCCAGCATCTCAAGTTCCGTAAACCACCACATCCCTTTCTCCTCCCCCCTCTTCCAACAACCCACCTCCCAATATCCCAACTTCCCTATACATCCACAATCATATCACTCTCCCTCTTCTTTTCTTACCACCTCCAAATTTTTCAGTTTCATAATGATTCAACTTTCATATACTACCTAAACATCATATCCATATTCAAATCGCACCCACCCTTCTCCCATCGATAACTTTCCAATATTTCAACTTCTCCATGCCCCAACTTCCTCATACTACTTAAATACCATATCCATATCCATACCCCTCTCTTTTTCTTTCTATTTTCCACCTTCTCCCTCATCCCTTCTCCCTTTCGTCTAATTAGTTTATCTTCCCAGTTTCTTAACCTCCCTATACCACTCCATCCACATCCCTCTTCCATCTTCCCTATACCAACCCCTCAAAGACTCCCTGGCCTCCAAATCCACGTCCCAAGAAACCAATCAACCACCTTATCTCTCATCTCTCACTCCCACTCCTACAATCCCATCTCCCTTTCCCTTATTCCTCAATTCCCACCCTTCTCACATCCCCAAATCTCCTACTCCCACTTCTATAATCCCATCTTCCACTCCCATAATCTCCCAAATCCTTTCCCTTCCTGATCCCACAACTTCTACTTCCACTCTCACTTCCACTCCCACTCCTATGATTTCCCTCATCCCATCTCCCTTTCCCTTATTTCTCAATTCCCACCTTCTCACATCCCCAAATCTCCTACTCCCTCACCCCTCACCCCTCACCCCTCACCCCCAATCCCATACTTTCTCACCACCACCAAAATAAAAATAAAAACATGATAATAAAATATCAAAATAACCCCTACTTCCTACCATACTACCACACTACCACACTACAACACTCTTCATAACCCCTTTACTTACACACTACCACACTACCCACAACCCTGCTTCCTGCCACGCTACATTCGCCTTGACTTAACTTAACTCCCTAGTACGAAACCTAGAGGAGATTCTAGAGATATATAGGTATATACTATACTAACTAGCATATATCCTTTATTTAATACTAGTAGCAAATACAGAGCCACTTTCCAAAGGAAGAAAGAAGGAAAGAAGGCCCTCTCACTCACACTCACACTCATACTCACTCACTCACGACAACACACAAAATCACCCAAAAAAACCAACTAAACTTATTAAATTTTTTCAATATTTCAATTCCATTGATTCTCCATCCTATCCCATCTGTCCATTCCATCATTCCCAACTACACAATTCGCATTGTACGTAGCCAGTAACTAATTAGTGAATTCCATTCTCAAGTCCATCCTAGGTTTAGTGTAGACAATACACTCCACCACCCAACCCTATCCTACTCAAGAATCTTCCCACGCACCCAGTACGGTATATTTGTCAGCTCCAATCCTCCATTTCTCCACCCTCCATCCACTCTCAACCAATTCACAAATTCATTTCCTCCCCATCTCATCCCCTCTTCCTTTCAACATCCCTCGCATCTGCCAGGATTGAGTGAAGCATGAAAAATAAATTACATAAATGACTCAAGTAATACCCCAATCCCTTTGAAAAGACAAAAAACCAACCACCCAGCTCCCAAAAAGTGAAATCAAGGCAACCAAAGTTTTAGTTAGCAAGCATGATTTCGTAAACATTGCAATATCAATGCTTACTCCCATCACAACCAAAACTACCAAAACCATCAAGTATAACATGAACGTCATGAAAGCCCAGCCTTTGAAATATGCACAGATGACAATTCCATGTTACATGACTGAAATTGGAAAAGGGGAACATTTTCGTCATAAATGATGAGAGTGAAAAAGCAGAAAGAAGAAGAGTAAGAAGAGTAAAAAAAGGTCATATCAAGATCAAAATCCAAAAGAAGCACATGGCATTTAGGGGAAAAGATGATCGTCTCATTTGGAAATAAATCGCCATCTCGATTTCGTTGCGCCATAGACACCAAAAGTAAAGTTATCGTTTTAAAGCGTATTTAACAAATTCGAGAGGAAATTCTTTCCTAATATAATATGAAGTGACGTATGTGACTAAGGTGTCGATATTGAGATCGAATGGGGTTATTTTCCAAGAAAAAAATATTCATGAAAACGCCGTATGCCACTCTTTTTGGTACTCCATTCGCCGACCCAGCTAGGAATTTGATTGAGCAAACGCTGTCGAGGGAAGATGGTAGAGAGGTCTTGCTGAAAACGTAAAGGGGGGAAGAGTGAGGTTCATAAATTGCGGGTGTTAAAAAAAAAGAGGCATTGAGCCAAAGGAATGTCGTAAATGTCGTTGATAATCCATGCGAAAATAAAAAAGCTTTGAGCTCAAAACACATCTTGAAGTGTAAGGAGATGGAATTTCTCATAGAATAACACAAGGTCCCTTCTTCTTGGGGCGATATTTTCTGGATTCATCTCGAACCATTCCATTGTCCATGGTGTTAGCACGGGGACTCTTTCCAGTACCTGAAGCTGAAGATCTCTGCTGACGTTGTCTGCGAAGTTGTCGTACTACATCATAGAATGCTTTTTCGACATTAACACAATTCTTCGCTGATGCTTCAACGAATTCGCAGCCCAACTCTCGCGCCAATGCATGACCTTCTTGTGTAGATACCTCTCGTTCCGTAACTCTGTCGCATTTGTTTCCCACAAGCATGATCGGTACGGGTTCCGAAGGCGAGATAGGTGATATGGGGGAACCGGGATATATGGGAGAGGAGGATGATGATTCCTTCACTCGTTGAATTTGATTGTGAAATCTTTGAATGCGCGTAAAGGATGACCTCGATGAAATGCTGTAAACCAAAACGAAACCTTCACCATCACGAATCCATTGATCTCTCAAGGCAGTATATTCTTCTTGACCGGCCGTATCGAGGACTTCCAACATGCATGATTGACCGTCTATTGCGACTTGTTTTCGGTATGAATCTTCGATTGTAGGATCGTACTATGGCAAAGTAAGCATGTGATAACAATCAAACGAAATGGCAGGTGGGATAACTTACAGTCTCGACGAAATGTTG